TTAATTTACTGAAAATCTCTTAAACATCAATCTTTTAGAAATAGAGGGAGTAACATGTAATAAATAATCCCTTCAAAATGTAAATTTTAGTTAATTGGTGTTTTCAGATACATATTCAGTTTTTTTTTTTTTTTTAAACTGATGATTTGTGAAATAAATTATTTGTGCATGAGAAATTGATCATTCGGCCATTCCATATACAAAGAACTCAAGAAACTCTCTTTTGAGAGCACAATTCTTACGACAAGGTATTGTGACCCATTATTTGGTCGTTAGTAAAATTTCGAAAAAATGATGGCACTTTTCGAAATTAACAACATATTATATACTATATATTCTGGCCGCAGACAAAATTATTTGTTTATTATTTCATTATTGATTTCCATTTTTACCCGAAATGTTCTATGCAAACCACAAAAATAGTACATATATATATATATAGTTATATACTTTTGGATATTTTATTCTCATATTCCCAAAGTATATATATATTCGAAATTAAGAACTATTTTGTCATGACATTAGAGTTTTTAAAACAATAGCAGCAGACCAAAAAATATTTCTTTATTCTTACATTATATACTTTGTCACTTTACCCAAAATGTTCTATAATCTATATAAACAACAAAAATAGTTTAGTATTATACAATTTTGTTTGATATTTCTATTTTCATACATTTTTCAAAGTTTATAAATATTAAATTTACATAAAACTTTCTTTTGAGAGCACAATTCTTGTGTCCCATTATTTGGGGGTTAGTGTATTTTCGAAAAAGATTGCACTATTCGAAGTTAACAACATATTACAGTAAAACCTCTATAAATTAATACTCTATAAATTATTAAACACTATAAATTAATAAATTTTGCTGATCCCAAATAATAAATTAATAATAAATTAATAATTAATATTAATTTATAGATAAATTAATATCACTATAAATTAATAAAATTATATGGTCCCAACATTATTAATTTATAGAGGTTTTACTGTATATCTTATTATATAAACCTTGGTTTTCAAAATCAGCCAATAAAAAGATCGTGACACGTGTCAATTATAAACGATAAGATGTTGACACGTGGCATAACTAATTTTGTTAATATTTGGATAAAATAGAAATATTATTAACCTTATCGAAGAAGGAAATATATAAAATAAATATTATAAAGAATTATATATTAAAAATTACTAATAAAATTAAACAAATAATCTAATTTCAGTTATGTCAATTTGGTTTATTAATAAGATAGGGATTTAAAATTTATAATTAACAAGAATATATGGCGGTTTTTGTTTACAGAAGAGGATTAATGTTTAAACTTTAATTTTTACAATTAAATCAGATTATTTGTTGGTTTGGGTATATAAATGATAAATAAGAATTATGGTTTATCTTTATAAATTAAAATTATGGTTTAACTTTAACAATTAAACGAGATTATATGTCAAAACTTGGTTTTTAAATTTACTAACTCACGTGATCATGATAAGTGTCAAGTAAAAACATAAGATGTCGCAATATGTTATATCTAATTTTGTTAATATTAAGATACAAATAGAATTTTTAAACAACATTAAAAAAATTATAAAAAATTAAAGAGAATTTTTTGAGAAATACCCCTTTTGGTGTACCCCTTTTCAAAAATACCTCCTTTATCTATTCATTTTCAAAAATATCCATGTTTAAATATGAAATATTATAAAGTTTTATATAGTTTATAAGGTACTTCCATATAATAACTAATACTTGGAAATTTGAAACAAATATTTTATAATGTTTTAAATCGTTTTTACAAAACTTTATAATTTTTAATATTTAAAAAGGGGTATTTTTGAAAATGGATAGATAAAGGGGATATTTTAAAAAAGGAGTACACCAAAAGGGCTATTTCTCAAAAATTCTCTAATTTGTATGTATATTTATAAGCTTTCACACTTATTTGGATGAATTTCAACATTTAAAGTGGTTTTTTTTATAAAGTTTGAAATAGGGGTATTTTTAAAAAGTGGTAAGGAAAAAGGGTATTTTGATAATTAAAAAGTAAAAAAATTGATATTTATAAAAAAAATGTATAAGCTTATATATTTAGACATAAATTATCTTTCTATGTGGAAATTTAAATACCATATAAATACCTTTTAAAAACGTTTTAAAATTATTTAAAAAACATATAAAAACTTTTTAAACCTTATAATTACCTTATAAAAGTCTTATAAATACCGTTTATAACCTTTTTAAAACTTTATAAATATTTGTATTGAGTCTCACAATAGTAATGATGATCTAGATGTACCTTAAAAACTATATAAAAGTTTACAATTTTTCATATTTGAAAAGGGATATTTTTAAAATAGATAGAAAATTGGTGTACCAAAATGGGTATTTCTCAAAACTTCTCTTTCAACTATTAACCTAATTTTTAGTTTTGCCAGTTGTAGGTTTTACAATTATAAGGGTTATATGTTGAGTTTATAAATCTGCATTATAGTTTAGATTTTATAATTAAACGAGATTATTTATCGGTTTGGGTTTATTAAAGAGCAGTGAGATTTATGTTTTACAATTAAACAAGGTTATTTATCAGTTTGGGTTCATAAAGGAGAATTAGGATTTACAGTTTACAAATAAATTAGATTTTGAGTTTAACTAAATATCTAATTTTATTCAAGATTTTTATTTTATAATATGTTATATTTGTTTAATTTTTAATTTATGTATGAATGTATTATGCCATTGAGCAATTTCATTGTCCAAAACATAAGAGTGAATAAAAAAATTCAAAAATAATATTTTTAGCTTAAATTAAAGATAACAAAGTTCAATATAAATCGTAATATTGTAATTTTAAAATATTTTTAAAGAAAATATGTAGTTTTTTATAATTCGTATTTGAAAGATTTTTTAATGTTTTCCTTAACGATGCTATAATTTATTTTAGAATCTTTATGTTTATTTGCGTTGTTTATATGAATTTATTTACAAATGACTATATTTGTATTTAACATCATATTTTAGATTGATGTTAATTTGAAAGAACTTTACCATCATATTAAATAATAAATAATTAATTTTCATAGTCTGAGAATGTTAAAAAATTTTTTTTTTACAAAATGGTATAATCATGTTTTAGAGGATAATTGATAAATTAAGATTTTTAAAAATATTTTAGCAATATTATGAGTAATGATGAATAGCTCCCAAATATAACCTCTATAAATTAATACTCGATAAATTAATATTCTCTATAAATTAATAAATTTCTCTGGTCCCAACTCAGACCAATGTAATTTTAATCACATTTTGATAAAATAATAAGATAATAATTTTTTTGAAAATCCTTTGTAAATCAATATAATAAATTAATGATTAGGTAAAAATTTCAAAATATATGTATATATAGTCACTTTAGTTTTTGTTACATTTTATTTTTAAATTTTTTTGGAAAAACTTTCTAAATTAGGAAAATCTCTCTATAAATTAATAATAATTAATTTATCGATAAATTAAAAACTCTATAAATTAATACATTTTCATGGTCCCAATATTATTAATTTATAGAGGTTTTACTGTAACTCCCAAATGTTTTGGTGATTGTCAATTTGACATTACTAGATTTTTATAATTAACGTTTAATAAGGAATTTTAAGATATATATATATGTATATATATACACGTGTATTTGATACTTCAAACCAAATAAATCTCTTACCAAATGAAATTAATTTCTCTTATTTTTTTTAAACAAAAATTTGGAAATTATTTTTTTGTCATGTTATAATTGGAAAATATTTCCCGCATACAAAATTACTTGTTTATTGTTTCATTATTGATTTTCAATTTACCCAAAATATTCTATATAAAAAAAATAGTAACTCGTATATATCTTATTGGATAAATTTTATTCTCATATATCCAAAATTTATAAAACTATATTCGAAATAAAGAACCTTTTTTTTGTCATGTCGAGAGTTGGAAAAACAACAGCCGCACACAAAATTATTTGTTTATTCTTACATTATATACTTTGTCATTTTACTAGAAATATTCTATATTAAAAACAAAAAATAGGATTTGCCCAAAAAAAAAAAAAAAAAAAAAAACAAAACAAAAAAAACAAAAAATAGGATGTAGTATTATATAATAATTTTGTTGGAAATTTCTATTCTCATACAAATTTCCAAAGTTTATAAATATTAAATTTACATAATAGCCCCCTTTCAAGAAAGTGTTCAGAGTTTCTTCTTCTGGTTAATGTTTTTTTTTTTTTACAGTAAGGGACCAATTTAGTTACAAGAAGAGTGTGTAAGTGAGACAACTCATTTTATGCTTCCCTAAAAAAAGAAATTCCCCCACTGACCCAAACACACACTTCTTCTTCTCTCATTGGAGACTTATAAATCCTATTACCTCACCATATCCAATAACCACCACACACACATAGTCACACACTTACCAATATCACCCAAAAAAAATAAATAATACTGTCTTTTTCTTTCCAAAAATAATCATTTAAGAAACCCCATATCATCTTATATTATTACTTTATCAGTATCATTAAAATACTATAAACCTCTCCCTGAAAATATCTCATCCTTTCACCAATCAAAACCTTGTCATGTCTTCTTCTCTCCTCGACATTTGAGGTGGAAATAAATTTAACCATTTTTATAATATATTCCCTTGAGCTTTTTTTGTTTTTGTTTTATTTCTTTCTTCTTTTGATCCATTTCTCTCAACTTCTCTTAAGTTGATTCATCAAACAAACAACAACTAGCTCTAGATCGATCTTTAGTCGTCCTCTCCTCGACTTGGTTTCAAAATCTTCCAAAAACTAGGGTTTTTACTGTCTTCAAATCATATTTATTCTTCTAAATTTAGCAAAAAGAACACGATTTACTTTCCATTTCAGTCGTCTTGTCACACTCTCTCTCTTCTTTAAAGTCTCCTTTTTTAGCAAAAAATAACAAAAAAATAAAAATTCTCTCTTCTCTCTGGGTTGTTGTTCTTCATCTCCTCCTCATCTCTCTTTACTTTTCTTTTTTAATCATATCTCTCATTTCTTGAATCTTTCTTGATCTATCAAGATCAATCTTTAGGTCTTCTTGGATCAAAAATCTTAAGCTATCCTTTGTCTTTTAGGGTTTTCTTGTTTGTTGTTGTGACATGGCGAGAGAAAAGATTCAGATCAGGAAGATCGATAACGCGACGGCGAGACAAGTGACGTTCTCGAAACGAAGAAGAGGTCTTTTCAAGAAAGCTGAAGAGCTCTCTGTTCTCTGCGACGCCGATGTTGCTCTCATCATCTTCTCTTCCACCGGAAAACTCTTCGAGTTCTGTAGCTCCAGGTTTCTCTCTCTAAATTCTCTCTCATTAGATTTTCTCAAACTCTTTTCATGGGATCTTTGTCTAGATCCAAAAATAAAACTCCAAATTTTTTCTAGATTTATATGTGATGCACAGAAGAAGATTACTGTATCAAACCTTGTTGGACCACTAACTATTTATATTAATGACCATACATGATTTTGATAAAGTGTATAGTAAACTCTGTATTTAGGAAAAATAAGGTATCTAATTAGGGTAATAGTCAAGAATATGTAAATCTTGATATACATTTTCATGAATAATGCTTTATAGTATTCTCCTTTTGTTATTACATATGCAAATCTATGTACATACATATCTGGATTTGTGGGATGATATTTGGAAGCCATCAATGTCATAGACATGTTTATTTACCAATATATGTGGATACTATAACATGAGAAACTTAAGAGGAATCTATATATGTGTGGATGTGTAAAGGTTTCCCTTTGAAGAAGGTAATGAATAAAAATAATATATATGTTGGAATCTAATTAGTGTTGGGGAAAAGTCATAGAGAGGTTTTGGATATGTTACTAATATTGGGAATATAACTGACTTATCAGAAAGATCCGATTTTGGATTTTAGACCCACTAGTTATCAGTTTAGTTCTCATCACTGGGGACATACACACTCACAGATAAGTGTGTATATCTTACTAAACATGATAGTGTTTAACATGAAATAATGTATATGTTTGGTATTGAATCTGTTTTGTGGATCAGGTTTGTATCTTTTGCTTGTAGATTTTTGTTCATTGTTGATGTTTTAGATGTGCATTGTAAATATTAGTAATATAATTGTTTATAACATACCTAATTGAAGATCATTAACAGTCTTATATAATGCAATACTTATTGAAATGTGTTTTATATAATGAAGCATGAAGGAAGTATTAGAGAGGCATAACTTGCAGTCAAAGAACTTGGAGAAGCTTGATCAGCCATCTCTTGAGTTACAGGTTAGCTTACATTCTCGAACTCACCATACATTATCTGTCACGATTTTTTTTTGAATGTATTGTTAAATTATATTCAAACGAAAAATAACGTTTTTACAACTTGTGCAACATCTGATCGAGAGGAAATTTTAAAAACCGAAGAGATAAATAGACATTTATATAAGAAAAGCTAATTTAGGAGCTGATTCACGATTTCTTTTACTTACAAAGTAGAGTAACTCCGTTGATTTATAAATAGTTAGTGTATACTCATATATATTGTACTTGAGATCCATCAAGAATCTCCAAGACATTGTATTGATAGGCACAAAGCATTATATTATTGCATACGAGTAATTAGACTATACATTTTGACATAATAAAATACTCGATCAATATATATATATATATAGAATTGTCATGTGTAGAGAGATTTGAGATTTAGATCATTATGAATTTGATCAAGAGCTTACGTCAATGTTTTATCTGTTAGCTGGTTGAGAACAGTGATCACGCCCGAATGAGTAAAGAAATTGCCGACAAGAGCCACAGACTAAGGTACATGTATATGTATATTCTATGAATTCTGAAGTAACGTACTGATCATTTTTTTTGTATTAATTATATGTGTTTGTATGGTCATATAAATAGGCAAATGAGAGGAGAGGAGCTTCATGGACTTAACATTGAAGAGCTGCAACAGCTAGAGAAAGCCCTCGAAGCTGGTTTGACCCGCGTGATTGAAACAAAGGTTGTTAAAGAAATTACTATTAACACTCTAATCTTATGACTATGTAACTTACTATTACTATACTTGTCATTGCAGAGTGACAAGATTATGAATGAGATTAGCGAACTTCAAAGAAAGGTAAACAACATATCAAAATAACGTGTAATTAATCTTTTATAGCTTAATTTCACATGTAACTTTGGCAATATCAGAAGTATTATTTTTTTTTTATCTTTTTGTTTTTGTTTTTTTTGGTGTTAAGGGAATGCAATTGATGGATGAGAACAAGCGGTTGAGGCAGCAAGTAATGGTCTTAAACTTTTTCTATAACACATCGTTTATTTTGTTTGTCTACAATTCACACATTTCCTAATTTTGAACTCGATCGGTTTATGAATTACTAAGCTAAGAGCCTAAGAGTTTAGCGCTGTTAAAAAGTGTCTTTAAATCTACTGATAAATAAGTAGCTTGGTATAGTCCCTAGGGTTCTTGAGGTAATTAAATGTGCATGGTCTTGGTTCCTTTCTTTTTGTGTTTTCATATTGTCTTTTTTGGTTTTATGAAATTTATATGTGGAAACAGAAATGAATCTAATTCTTGTTTGATATGGTTTGGTTGAGACTTTCATGTCAAGATATACTCAACACGCAATAAGATCTATAGAGAAAACACAAAATGCTAATAATTGAAAAACTTATTGATTTATGTTTTTGTTCTCTCTTTCCTGGTCTTGATTTTTGCAGGGAACCCAACTAACGGAAGAGAACGAGCGACTTGGCATGCAAGTACGTTTGTTTGATATAGTTTTTGATTATTTCGAATTTAGCAATATTTTTTTTGGCTAAGTGTTAAATTTGGAATATTTGTTTGGTATACAATATAGATATATAATAACGTGCATGAATCCGGTGTTGATGAATCGGAGAACGTCGCCGTGTACGAGGAAGGACACTCGTCAGAGTCTATTACTAACGCCGGAAACTCCAACGGAGCTCCTGTTGACTCCGAGAGCTCCGACACTTCCCTTAGGCTCGGGTACTCAATTAATCACCTTACTACTTTTTACATATTTTCCTAAAAGTAAGTTATATAATAAAGTATATATACACTAATGGATGAGATCATTTAAGTTATTTCTTTACAGCATGTAAATATTATTTCATTATGATGATAAGATAATTTACATGATATATATATTATATATCATGCTATTTGTTAAAACTACATTTGTAAAGACAAACCACTTATAAGGTATATGGTGTTGTTGCAGCTTACCGTATGGTGGTTAGAGATGGAAACAAATACAAAGAAGCTAAAATGATGGAACGAGGAGAGGAGAGAGTGATGTAAATCTTTTTTAACTCGGTAATAACAAGAGACAATGTCTACATAGTAGTAATCAAATTCTCTCATATGAACTTTGTTGTAAGTTTCTGTATGTGGAAAAGGTTTCCCTTTTTGTGATTTTCACTATGTATTCTTCTTGTCTCTCTCTTCACTGCCTTTCTGGTTTGTCACAACCAAATTGTATCGACATGGAAAGTAAGAATATGAATATGAAAATATCTCATTAGTTCAAGGTTGAACTAATGTGGAAACTACTCTTACTTAGTGGGAAACTGAGTAATTTAGAAATTAGACTTTTTTACATGAGAAGAAATGTTTAAAAGTGTTGTTAAGTTGATGTGATAATTAGTAGAGTTACATAAATATAAATATCTCATTAGTTCAAGGTTGAAATAAATAGTTTATTACTAAGGTAAAAATATGATCGTAGGAATAAGTTATCTAAGAAACTGAACTTCAACAAAAAGATGATAGGAAGATAGATAAGATTCACTATGTCGACATGCCAATGTCCTCATGAGTTGGCTTCTTGATTACCGAATGAGACTCTTTAACTTTAACTCTCTTTATGGTTCAAACTCGAGTTTCCTTATTGTTGGGCTTATGTATATAATACTCTTTCTATATATTGTCTCTAATTTTTCCGATGGAGTGACATCTAATTTGTTTTGAATTTAGATATAATTTGGTTTTGATGTTTAGTCTTTTGCAATTAAGTTTTGCTAAGAGAAGATTCTATGAGGAGAGTTGGCTTGTGGTATTAGAAACAGGATCGCCCTATTAGTTTAGGCCCGCGATCAATTCTCTTCAAATATGAATTGTTTTTCGTTTACCATATGTCATTTGTTTTCGGCCTATTTAAATACTCGGTTATGTTGCATGGAAACAGAAAATGATATGCAAAAACTAAAGGTTTATTGCATTAATCTTGAATTCTTTCATCTTATACTTTGGAAATTTATCTTAAGTATATATAAAAAAGAAGGATCCCTTTGGACAAAAAAGAAGGTTCTTGTCGAATCGTGGACACACCGACCTTTGACCGGTTCATCAAAACGTGTCCGGTTTTATGATAAAACCGTCAATATTCAATGATTAAAGCTTTGATTGGTGAACATCTTTACAACTTTTTTTAAAAACGGACCAAGACAACATTTTCACATTCCTTTTTTTCTCAATTCATTTAATAAGTTAATTAAACTTAAGATTCTTTCTCAGATTAAATAAAATTTACATATTTCTGACATGTTCTGTAACGTTTGACACAGAAGAATAATCGGAGAGAATGCTTCCCCCGACTTCCTCCGACCACGACGCTGGCACTTTAACATTGGTACAACAACACAACAGAAGACATTAGTAGGAAATCAAAATATTCAAAACTTTCTTACAAAACAAAAGTCATTTAATTTTTTTTTAAAAAAAATCAATTTTACCAAAATAAGACCGAGGTTTGCTCCCACCCATGATCTCTCCCTCATGAATGATGAGAAAGAAAAAAAGCAGATTCATTTGTAGCACGTTCTGTCCTCAATTTCTGATTTTTTTTTTTTTTGATTGACAACCAAATTAGACCTTTAAGTTTTTCTTTGTGGGTCTATCTAAAAACCGAAGCTTTTTTCCCTCTTTCTTTCTCGAGAAATTAAGATCTAGAGAGAAGGATCATCAACACACACAACACACATAAATGTTACAGGCTTTCTGTGAATTTGAATGAATAGGATCAGCAAAAAGTTGAAAACTTTGACATAAAAATCAAAACTTTGCGACGATGTTGCAGAGAGCTGCGAGTAATGCGTATTCATGGTGGTGGGCGAGTCATATTCGAACCAAACAATCTAAATGGCTCGAACAAAACCTTCAAGGTCTCTCCTTTTTTGCCATCTCCATCTTATATATGTGTTTTGATTGTCTGGTTTATACAAAAAAAGTTGCGATCTTTCTGATCTTTTGAGGGTTTGATATGAAAGGATCTCTGTTTTTATGGATGTGATGATGGATTTACAGATATTGAAGAGAAGGTGCAATATGTGTTGAAGCTATTACAAGAAGATGGGGATTCGTTTGCCAAGCGTGCGGAGATGTATTACAAGAAGAGACCGGAGCTCATTAGCTTTGTTGAAGAATCTTACAGAGCTTATAGAGCTTTGGCTGAGCGTTATGATCATATCTCTACAGAGCTTCAAAACGCTAATACGACGATCGCCTCTGTTTTTCCTGATCAAGTCCCGAACTTTGCTATGGATGATGATGATGACTCCATGTCTAAATTCGCTAAAAGATCGAATACTTCTGGTGCTAATGTCCCCAATGTTCCCAAATTGCCTGTTAAAGACTTGAAGAGCGCGGTTAAAGTGGCTACCAAGAAGCTTCAGCCGAGGAAATCTATGAAGTATACGGGTGGTTCTACGAATGTGGTTGTTAAGAGCTCGGGTTTGAGCAAGCCCGAGGCGATGGGGGAGATTGATAAGTTGCAGAAAGAGATTTTGGCGTTGCAGACGGAGAAGGAGTTTGTCAAGAGCTCTTACGAGATAGGTTTGTCTAAGTATTGGGAGTTTGAAAAGGGTATTAAGGAGAAACAAGAGAGGATCTGTAGTTTGCAGGATGAGTTTGGTGAGAGTGTTGCCATAGAAGACGATGAAGCTCGGAAATTGATGACCGAGACTGCGATTAAGTCATGTCAGGAGAAGCTAGTGGAATTGCAGGAGAAGCAAGAGAGGTCTTATGAAGAAGCTAGAGAAGAGCATGTGAAGATTAAGGAGTCTAAAGAGAAGCTGAAATCTATGGCAAGCCAGTTTCTAGGGGACGAGAGTGTCTTTGCGAAAGACGATGGTGATGAAGTTAGAAGAACGGAGGAGTTGGAGCATGAGATCAAAGAGATGTCTAGGAAGAAGAAAGAGTTGGAATCTGTAAAGGAGAAGATTAGAGAACATTTTGAGTCTGGTGTGAATTCCTCGGACAACGCAACAGAGATGGCTGAGAAAGTCGATGAGCTCGTGAACAAAGTGATTACCTTGGAGAGTGCGGTTTCCTCGCAAACTGCTTTGATACAGAGATTAAGAAATGAGACCAATGGTCTCCAGACACAAATCAGTACTCTTGAAACCGACAAAGCATTGTTAGCAGACGACAAGAGTGATCTGAGGAACAAGCTGAAGGAGATGGAAGAGAAACTCAAGGCATTGCAGGAATTGGACAGAAATGTTTTGGACAAGAGTAGCAATCTGCAGACAGATTTTGATGAAGCTTGTCATAATCTCGATAACCTCTCTGGTGGGAAGCTGCATGATGAGAAGCCAGAGAGCGAGTCTGATAACTTGGTGATGAATATGGAAAAGGAGAAAGAATTGGGAGCTGAAAAGAGGAATTCTGATGTGACTGAAGAGGCAGAGAACCATCAGAAGGAAATGGCTGAAGAGAAGAAAGAAGCACGCGAGAAGAGTGTAAAATTTGAACAGACCCGCGATGCGACAATAGAATCAGAAGATATCATCATCCCTAGTGAAAATCCAGAAACTGTCTTGGAATCTACTGAAAAAGTAGATTCCGATATAGAGAAGCAAGCTGCATCTGACAAAACAGATTCTGTTCTTGATAATGTTTTCGAGAAGCAAGCTGCATCAGATAAGACAGAGTCTGTTCCGGATAATATTTTAGAAAAGCTGATATCTTCTAAAGAATCTGATATCACTTTGAATGGCAAACAACAAGAGGATCAAAAGGAGGAAGGTGAACCAGATTGGAAAGAGATGTTCATGAAGGGAATGGAAAATAGGGAAAAGCATTTGCTTACGGAGTACACTACAATTCTCAGGAACTACAAGGATATGAAGAAAACTTTGGATGAAACAAAAACAAAGATGAAGACAGAGAATGCGACAAAAGATGATGAGATCAAGATACTAAGAGAGAAAATGAGCCTCCTGCAGAAGGGTCTTGGAGACAGTAATGACTTGATGGAAAACCAGATGTCAAACGACGACTATTCCATCGGGTTCATGGCTACAGAAAACGAGAACATGTCTCTGGTTGAGGAACAGTTCAGGTTGAATATTGATGAGCTTTTAGAAGAGAATTTGGATTTCTGGTTACGGTTCAGCACAGCTTTTGGACAGATACAAAGCTACGACACTTCAATCGAAGATCTACAAGCCGAGATATCAAAGCTCGACCAAAGAAAAAAGCAAGATGGAAGCAGCACAGCGAAATATGCCCTGAGATCAGATGTTCGACCACTTTATGTACACTTGAGGGAAATAAACACAGACCTGGGTCTCTGGCTGGAGAAAGGAGCATCCTTGAAAGAGGAACTAAAATCCAGATTCGAGTCTTTGTGTAATATACAAGATGAGATAACAAAAGCCCTGAAATCAAGTGCTGAAGACGATGATTTCAGATTCACGAGTTACCAAGCTGCTAAATTTCAAGGTGAGGTGTTGAACATGAAGCAGGAAAACAACAAAGTGGCAGATGAGTTACAGGCCGGGCTAGATCACATCACCATGCTTCAACTCGAGGTTGACAAGACTCTAGGAAAGCTGAGTGACGAGTTTGCTCTTACAGGTTCAAAGAAATCCGATCTTGATCTCCAGCATTCGGATAGTCGTTCAAGAGTGCCCTTAAGGTCATTCATCTTTGGCTCCAAACAGAAGAGAGCAAAGCCATCCATATTCTCCTGCATGCATCCCTCACTATATAGAAAGATGAAGACTTCTACATCATAGGTAACATTTTACATACTATATGCTACATGCCATCCAGAGAGTTAATTGATTCATATACTGTAATTTATCAGATTCATGGAGGATTTGATTCATTTGTGTTCTTTTTACCTGTATTCCCTGGGGAGATCGACCGGTTTTTATCCCCCATTCCCTTTTCTTTTTGGTTTGCGAGATTGAAACAATAGTGTTGTGTATTGGTTTTTTATATCATTTTTGAGCATTGTAGATTGTTCACAGTTTGTAACTGGTGAAGCAAGAGGAAGGTCTTCAGGCTTTATACATTTTCTTCATCAAAATTTGTATTTACAGAACCATTACAAGAAACAGAGTTTGTAATTTTATGTATTTTTCTCCAAGAATCTTACGAGAAATTCTAGGACTGTAAGAGCATTTATCTCCCAAAGAACCCAAGAATATAATCAGACTGAACATTTCATTCTGAAAGCATTAGAATCATCTAATGCTTTTCAGAGAACAAGTTTCATGAAAATAAACAACAGTTCTGCAACAATGACTATGCTAAGAATCTAAGAGTCATTAGTTCTCAAAAACTCCGTGTAAAATCAGACAGACATTTCACATTTTATTTAGACAGATAAGATATCATATTATTTTTTATTCTGAAATAGTTACACAAGTTGATCTGTATCAGACATCAAGCTTCAAGACAATTTGGCAAGAAAAAAAGAGGTATACTCAACAATTTACTGAAATATTGGAGAGTAAGAAATGTTATGATTTATATACGAGATAGTACTTTTAGGTCTCAAATGAAATTTCGGAGACTACCTTAGCTCCTCTTCCTTTAGCCATGTATAGACCTACATGGTGCATCAATTCCTGACACAAAGAAAAGAAACATAACAGAAAATAAGAAGATGTATCGATTCAAAAGTGGTAACTCACTAGAAAAAGGCTCATTTCAGAAGCATCAAACTTTTCTAATAATACCTGAGGATGAGCCTGAGCCCCTTTGATGTCTTTTGCAACATGCAGAGGAAGGTCAAAAGTAGCACAGCCACGCGAATACACTACCACATCTTTTACCGGAGGAAGAAAACCGTGGTTTCGAGCAGAGAGTGCAGCAGCCACAAAATCAAACACACATATGTCTGTACAGATACCTACAACCAGAATCTTTAAATCCCCAAAACAGAGGGAAGTTCAAGTAAGTTGAATATATGCCTAAAAGCACTGAACTTGTTCAACATAACTAATCAAATCATCAAGAAAAAGAAAAAGAAAAAAACTTACGACTTTGATCTGTGTCTTCTTAACCCAATCAACAAAAACATTAGAACCATCTTTCTCCATAGAACCCACAAACCCATTAACACAATCCTTTCGCCTAAGAGTGGCACAATTCTCACTTTCAAGCCACTGCAGAGCTGATTCATTAACCAAAAGAAGAATTCAAGACAACAGTCTAAACTAACTATAAAATCCTAACAAAGACATTGACAGAGCTTAAGTACCAGGAACAAGTTTAGATTCTTCAGTTCCTATAATACAATGAGGAGGATACGGAACCTCAGGAATATCTGGATGATGAGAATCAATAAACGCAAAAACCGGCCATTTCCGATTACAAAACTCTCTAGCAAGCTTTGCACTTTCCTCTACCATATTCGATATCTGTTCATTATGCTCCGTTGGAGCCTGCATAAATCACAAAGTCAAACAACTTGACTTGAGGGCAATATCACAAACACTTGGAAGACATAAAATCAACACAAAAACATCCAAAGTCACAAACTTTTGGAGAATTTAGATCAAATTGAAAGAGTTTAATTTATAAAACCAAACCATATTGCCGGAGCCAACTGTGCAGAAGCCATTAACAACGTCAACGATGACTAGACCAACGCTCGAGTCTCGATTCAAAACAAGAGATTCGTCTTCATCCACTGGGATCTCCTTCTTCAGATGATCAAGTATCGTTTCATAATTCGCCATATCGATACGAGTCTACAAGAAGAAATTGAGAAAACTCAAAACTGGATCAAACAATTTTCCAAAGTAGAGGAGACATATGAAGCGAGTTGGTTATGTTTTGTTTCCAAGGATAAAAACTATATAAACAGGTTCTAGTGATGGTATCTCAATTGGGGATGTAGCTCATATGGTAGAGCGCTCGCTTCGCATGCGAGAGGCACGGGGTTCGATTCCCCGCATCTCCAAATTTTGTATTTTTTCTCTGTACTGTTTTGTTTTGGGCTTATTATTGTAAATCAGATTATGGGCCTAGCCCGTTATTTTTATTAAATAAGATGTGGGTAATAAAATTTATGTTTACAGTTTTGTCTTACCAACCTAACTTTAATCTCAGCCGTTCATCTTACCTACAACATAGTATGTTTTTTCACAATCCAATGAAGTAAAAGTGTAACACTGTCCTAGGAAAGCAAAATATCCTAGCGATGACAAATAATTTTCTGCTTTCCTACAAAAATAAATAAGAGAAAGTCAAGCGTTGACTATGACAAACTTTTTCTGATGAGAGACTATGACAAACTTTTAATTGAACTTGCTTGCCTGAGTGATAATGACAAACTCAACGTGGCAATCAATATTTCATTGCATGGTTAGGTTTTGGCCACATGGTTCCATACATCTCTATCTTTAGTATACACCACAAATCTTACCTACCTACAATGGGAGATACAATCATACAAAAGTCACAATCAAATAAAATATCTTTCTCTTTCTCCTTTCTATAAAAGAAAGATTTAACTTCTGTTGTCAATATCATGTCACAAACCCAACAATGACAAACTTGAAAGTCAACAACGGTGGAGATGGAACAAAGCTTCACGTGGCCATGTTTCCATGGTTAGCTTTTGGTCATATGGTTCCATACTTTGAGCTCTCTAAGCTCATCGCTCAAAAGGGTCACACCGTCTCTTTCATCTCCACTCCTCGTAACATCGACCGCCTCCTCCCACGCTTGCCTCAGAATCTTTCCTCCGCTATTAACTTCGTCAAGCTCCCGCTTCCCGTCGGCGACAATAAACTCCCGGAGGACGGCGAAGCCACCACCGACGTGCCTTTTGAACTCGTCTCTTACCTTAAAATCGCTTTCGACGGGTTGAAATCTCCGGTGACGGAGTTTCTTGAATCCTCAAAGCCGGATTGGGTTCTTCAAGATTTCGCGGCGTATTGGCTTCCTCCGGTCTCTCGCCGCCTTGGTATCAAGACCGGATTCTTAAGCGCTTTTAACGGCGCGACTCTTGGGATTCTGAAACCGCCGGGGTTTGAGGAGTACCGTACTTGTCCGGCGGATTTTATGAAGCCGCCTAAGTGGGTTCCGTTTGAAACTCCGGTGGCGTTCAAACTATTCGAGTGCCGGTACATTTTCCACGGGTTCATGGCGGAAACCACCGAAGGAAATGTCCCTGACATCCACCGTGTCGGCGGCGTGATCGACGGCTGTGACGCCATCTTCGTACGGAGCTGTTACGAGTATGAAGCAGAGTGGTTAGGTATGATACAAGATCTTCACCGGAAACCGGTTATTCCGGTAGGAGTCTTACCACCTAAACCGGAAGAGAAGTTTGAAGACACCGACACGTGGCTGACTGTAAAAAAATGGTTGGACTCACGGAAAGCTAAGTCCGTTGTTTACGTAGCTTTCGGTTCAGAAGCTAAACCGAGTCAAACGGAGCTGAACGAGATCGCTCTCGGTTTAGAGCTTTCCGGTTTACCGTTCTTTTGGGTGTTAAAGACTCGTCGTGGTTCGTGGGATACCGAACCGACCGAGCTTCCGGAAGGGTTCGAGGAGCGTACGGCAGATAGAGGAATGGTGTGGAGAGGTTGGGTTGAGCAGTTGAGAACACTGAGCCATGAGTCGATCGGTTTGGTTCTGACTCATCCCGGTTGGGGAACGATAATCGAAGCTATCCGGTTTGCTAAACCGATGGCAATGTTGGTATTTGTGTTCGACCAAGGATTGAATGCTAGAGTCATAGAGGAGAAGAAGATTGGGTATATGATCCCTCGGGATGAGACAGAAGGTTTCTTTACTAAAGAAAGTGTTGCAAAGTCACTGAAACTGGTCATGGAGGAAGAGGAAGGGAAGGTTTATAGAGAGAATGTGAAGGAGATGAAGGGAGTGTTTGGAGACATGGATAGACAAGATCTTTATGTGGACTCGTTCTTGGATTATCTTGTTGCTCATCGTTGAATTTGCTCATGAGGTTTTGATCCTATTTGAAAGAACTTGTGTTAGTTAATAAGAATCGAATTTGATGATCAAGTGTTGTAACGATGATCAATGTGTTTTGAAATGGTCTAAGTTTTTGTATAAGTACCTAACCAAGGATGGTCTTAATTTTGTGTGTTTAGGAGCACCCTCTGCGAGAGAGTCCTATCAACAAAAAACTAAAGTTATGCCTTTTAACCAAAAAAAAGGAAAAAAAGAACTAAGGGCATCTGCGAAGGAGAGTTTTTAATGGGGTTTATAGGTTTTTGATGATTTAATTTAAATCAAAATAAATTAATATGGTAAGAATGGGTTGTTAAATTAGGGGTTTAAGAGGCAGTCTCTTAAGGTGATGTGGCTTGTGTTCATTGGGTGTATTTGATTCAATGTGTGATGTCTACAAAGTTTAAGAACTCCACACATAGGTTCACCATATGAAAGAGTAAGAAAAAAACATTAATAAGAGGTTCATAATAATTAATTTAATTCCAAAATTTAATTAAAATTTACCTAAGAATCTCATACATGGGTTCACCTTTGGAGATGGTCTAAAGTTTATAACTGTTAGTCGCTAATATCCATACAAAACCATAACCCTATACTGTATATGTAAAAGATTGTATTCATAAAATGTCCATTTGTTAGAAATATATACACACAATAAACATTTTGCCAAACTAATCAGCGTAAAATATTACATATATAATACTATTTTTATATAACAAAAACTAAAATAGAGATATTGTTTTCCCAAAACTTCTACATTTTCAAGAATGATTATTGAATTTCTTTTACTATTGGTTATATATATGCAAATGGACTAATTATGATAGAAAGATTTAGAAGTTGATTGGTTCTCTCGTAACCTTCTAGAAACACCATATTTGTTTTCTTCTAATTACGATTTAAAATATATATAACGGTTCATTAATTATTTCGTTAGCGATTTGAGGATGCACTATGCCTTTAATGAATAAACACATTTTGCGTTTGCGTTTGCGTTTTGCAATCGCCCAAGTGAACGCTTTTTACAAAATTAAAATCTTATAAGATTGTGACAATCAATCTTTTATCAATCTTTTCCTTTTCTTAAGAAACACACTGATATGAAAATCTCCGCGAAAATCTTCAATGATTTTGAGAGATTGACTTGTTCTCTGCAAAATCAAATCGTGGCTTTTACCTTTTCCTAACTCTTAACTTACAAAAATCAAAACTTTATCGTTCCCGCTTACTTCACCACCGTGACTTTGAGAGCCAAAGAGGCGTAATCACGACGCCGGTAATGAACAAACGCCGTGGAGTAACACCCGCCGTGACGAAACGGCGTCAGGTGATACACGTGTTACCAGACGAGACAGCGATAAGAGTTGTCTGCCACGCTTCAGTAATCGGTGGCATAATTGGTTCGAACGGCTCCGTCGTTTCGCAGCTCCGCCGTGAAACCGGTACCAAAATCCACTGCGAGTCTCCGGTTAACGGCTCCGACCACTGGGTTGTCTTCATCGTTGGTTCAACCGCGGTTAATAAAAGCGTTTTGTTGACTGATAGAGTCGGTGATTTCTCTGGCGGGGAACACGAAGATTGGGTGACGTGTGAGGTCTCCGCTGCTCAGACGGCGTTGATTAGGGTTTTGGAGAGGTCTTGGGTGGTTTTAGCGGCCAAGGATGGTGGCGGAGTTGTTGATGGTGAAGATGAAGAGGCTTGTTGTGGGATTTTGGCTGATCGGAATCAGATTGGTGCTGTTTTGGGTTTGGGTGGGAAGAATGTGGAGTGGATGAGGAGAGAATCTGGTGCTATGATTAGGATTTTGCCTCCTCCTGTTTGTGGTACTAACACTGATGAACTCATTCAGGTGACTTCTTTGTTCTCTCTTTGATCAGTTTGGAGTTTTTGTTAGGGTAACACATAAAGTTAGAGACTTTAGATAGAAAAAAACGAGAAAGTTGATAAATTTGTGAGTTCAGGTAAGTTCTTTGTTGTCTGATCAATTAGGGTAAAACAAAAAGTTAAAGTCTTTAGGTAGAAAATATGAAAAAGTTGATAAATTTGTTTTGGTATTTTTGGTTTTTGATTTGTGAATGTCACTTCTTTGTGTATTAGATTACTGGTGATGTGTTGGCTGTGAAGAAGGCACTTGTTATGGTATCAAATTGTCTTCAGAATACTCCACCTCTCAACGGGTATCCACCGCCACTTTGCATCAAAGCTTACGAGTCATCTACTGATGGAAACACGGAGGATCCGCGTTCTGAGCTTTTCTCAAACCTGCATTTGCCTAATGCTTCAGAAACTGCTGCGTCGAGTCAACATTTACCATCAGCATATGAGGAAGGAAACATGTTTGACGATTCAAAAAATACAGAACGCAAAGTTGTGTTCAAGATGATTTACTCGAGTGTTGCAGCTGGAGGCATTATTGGGAAACAAGGAACAATTATCAGAGTTCTGCAGAATGAATCAGGTGCCTCTATTTCAATTGGAGCTCCTTTAAAAGTATCTGGTGAACGAGTTGTTACCATTTCCGCACGTGAGGTATAGGTTTTACCCTCCTGCTCGCTGCTACGTGCTAACCTGAGTTTCTTCGTTGATTAGTCACATTTGGTTTGTTTTGTTTGTTTAGAACCTCGGGTCAGGGTACTCTCATGCACAAAATGCTCTGGCTCTTGTCTTTGCAAGATCTATTGAGATTGATGTTGAGAAAGGTCTGCGTCCGGGATTGCACAAAGGTGCTTTGGTGAAAGCTAAGTTATTGGTACCATCACAGTTTGCTAATAGCTTAATGGCAAACAGAAACAGAGAAGCATTCATAGCAACTGGTGCTGATGTGCACATTCCAGTAGGCGACCAGATTTTAGAGAGGATCTCAGAAAATGAAGTGGTGATTGAGGTAAGTGCATGTTTTCTTGTAATAAGTCATGAGTGTAAGCTTGTTTCCCTTATAGATGCGAAAAAGTTGTGCAATAAACCGTGATTTGCTCCTTTTGATTCTCTAATTGTTTTTAGATCAAGGGAGAGTATAGTCATGTACAGAAGGCCTTGACCCATATTTCCTCTAAGCTACGTGAAAACCTATTGCCAAAGAAGGTACTCGGAGAAAGGAGAGCTGGAGTAAGTAATCCATATGAAAATGCAGGAACAAGCGATACATCTAATCTGCAACCATCACAACAAGTAAGTGTGTTTCTTTACTCCAAGCTAGACTAGAATTTAATTGCTTCTATCTAATTCAACAAAAAATGCAGAACGCAAGCAGAGGTGAGTCTCTCTCGGTATCAGATGGTGAACAAGAGTTGAAGCTGGCCAGAAGCGGTGCAATGAAATCAGTTGATCCTGTAATGCAAACTGAGGTCCTTAAAGTGGTGGATAAAGGCAAAGGCTTTACACTTCAACAAATTTTGCTGGAGGATGACTTGACACAGGGAATAAAACAGGATCAAATTTCTAGCAACGGAGATGCCTATTTTTCACAACCACGGTTTGTATTTTGCCACGAACAATGGATCCATTTGGTTAACAATATTCTCGGTGAAATAATGCAGAGTTGGTTTATGTTTTGAAGCAGAATTAAAGGTGTAGCTTTGAGAAAAGTTACCTTGGAGTTAGTTGTCGAGAAAGATGCTCTTGGTTCACTCTATGGCAGAGATGGCACCGGTCTGGATAATCTAGGACAGGTACATAAATCATACCTTCTCTTAATATATCCCCCTTTAGATGCTAGACAATGAAGTTTGATGGGGGTTCTTGCAAACCAATAGATTTCAGGAGCTAGAGTAGATGTGAAGGACCCTACCGGAGTTGAAGCAACGGTCTTAATCTGTGGGAATCCTGAGCAAACCCGCACAGCGATGTCTTTGATCGAGTCAATCCTTGCTGATCAATGAGACTGCCTTTTGCAACCTTCGGATGTTTAGTTTTTGTGTTAGTCAAGCTCATATATTTCTAGTTGTTTTCTAACTTTGCTTCATAATGCCACATTTGATGCTATATATTTGTGGTACATGTCATCTTTTTATTTTTAGTTATTCTTTTTACCATTTTTAACTATTAAGTTTAAAATATTATGTCAATATTAATTCTAAATAACCATAACTAGTTACCAATTAAAATGAAATTATTATGAGTAATATTATTTGGGATCCAAGATTTAATACACTTGAAATCTATTTCTAAATCCAATATATATATTTTTAATCTAAAGTTTATTTGCCAAAAAATGTAAAGACAGATTATTTTATAGTAAAATCTCATATTGTATAATTAAAACATCTACTTCACACAATTGTCTTATCTTAACCGTAATTATGAAATACACATTTCAATGTTTTTGTAGCGATTACAAATTAGTTAAGTACAGTAAAACCTTTATAAATTAATGTCAGGACCGTGAAAATCTATTAATTTAGTTTATGTATTAATTTATCAATAAAATACTAATAATGAATTAATAGTGAGATTTCCTAATTAATCTTTAAAAAAAATATACACATGGAAAATAAAAGTAATCATTATAACCACTATTTTCTTAGACAACTACGAGAAAAAAAATCATCATGCATTGAATAAAACATTATAAAATTTTGATACATGAAATGTATTAAAATTGAATTTTAAAACTTAGTAATAAATAACAACAAAATAGTCATATTTCACCAAATTTCTCTTAAATTTTATGTATATAGACATATATTAATAATTTTATATAATTATTAATTTATAGTATTTTTGGGACAATATATTTACAAAAAAATTTCAAAAAAATTATTATCTTATTATTTTATCGAAATGTGTCTAAAATTATATTGGTTCAACTTGAGAACGAAATTTTTAATTAATTTATGGAATATTAATTTATAAAGATTTTAACTCAAAAAGCTGGTCCATGTCATTTACCAATACCGGTTTACGTTATCATCTTACCGGTCTGATTTTGTTCGATTTGGGTTAAAGTTATTAATACAGACTGTGGCCAATGTTGAAGAGGTAAAGAGGCCCATGTAAATTAATTGAGGTTCATCTTTTCTAAGAAAAATACTTGGGTTCACTCCTAGTGGTGAACCTACATATTCACCTCCATTTTTAGTTTAACCAATAATATTAGAGTAATATGTTACGTCATATTATATTTAAAAAATAAATCAAAACTAAAACCAGTAAAAATAAAACAAATAAGGAAACAAAATCTGCAGACTTTTTATTAAAAAAATATATGCCGGTTTGGGTTTATAAAAAACGGATTAGAGTTTATATTTCTCAATTAAACAAAATTATATGTCAATTTGGGTTTAGAAAGGAAAACAAGGGTTTAATTTTTATAAATAAAAAGTAATTATATTTTGGTGTGGCTTTATAAATAAACATTAGGGTTTAGATTTTACAATAAGCGAAACAATTTTTTGGTTTGGGTTTATAAAAGATAACTAGGGTTTAGATGTTATAATTAAACGAAATTATACACCGGTTTGGGTTTATAAAGGAGGATTCAGGTTTAGATTTTACATAACACAAAATTATATAGAGATATATCAGTTTGAATTTATAAAAAGTGGTTAGGGTTTAGATTTTACAACTAAAACAAAATTATATATCGGTTTACGTTTATAAAAAAGCTAGTTATATGTATACATATTTTGTTTCTATAATTTTTTAATATTTAATTTTAAATAAAATATAATATGATATATTACTATAATCTTATTGGTTAAACTAAGATGAGGTAAAAATACGTAGGTTCACATGCTCCTTTTCTAAACGGTAACACTAAAAATCTTAACGGTCGTCTTCTTCATAAGATTCAAATTTTAAAAAACAGAAACGCAGAAAAGGAAAATCAAATATTCCTTTTAGTCACTCACGCTCTTATCTCTCTTTCTCGTTCTCTCTCGTTATCTTTAAGCTTTTTTCAATTTCGTGATCCACGAAACAGAGAGAAACAATTTTAGTTTTTTTCGGATTTTATTTTCTGGGATTATTACAAGAAAAATCGATTTCTTCAATGGAAGATGTTCAGATCGACGCTACAGTTCCGGTGGATCCAGGAGCCATCACGAAAATTTGTTCACCGGAGATTCCTTATTCCCAATTCGTTAATGATGCAACTGAGAATTTAGAGATCGGAGATACTTCCGTCGATGACTGTGAAGATTCTTTGGGCGATTCCATGGTGTGCGATCCTAATTCAAGACTCGTCCCTACTGGTTTCACTAGACCTAATAGTACAGGTTCGATTCCCTTCTCTATCTCTCTCGATTTCGATTTCAGAGATCCTAATTTCCTAGGGTTTTGGATCTGATTCTTTTACCCAATTACTTGTCAAATCCCTAGGGTTTTTAATTGATTTTGTGCAATTTCGCTTCTAAATTTAGCAGATGAGACTATTATGTTCATAAACGCTGGAGGAGATGATGATGCAAAGGTGTTAGATTCTGAATTGAATATCCTCAAAGACGCTTATTTCGAAGGAGGGGATGTGATGAGGACTGAGGAGTCTATAGTTGAAGCTGGAGACTTTCCGTTCCTTTATCAATCAGCACGTGTTGGCAACTTTTGCTACCGGTTAAACAATCTTGTTCCTGGAGAGTACTTGATCGATTTCCATTTCGCGGAGATTATCAACACCAATGGACCTAAAGGGATAAGGGTGTTCAATGTCTATGTTCAAGATGAGAAGGCAAGTAGAACCTTTACTGGAACGTTAGTGTTTAAAATGTTGTAAGAATGTTGTATGAAGGCTGAGGGAAATGCTTTTGTTTATGTTCACAGGTGTTAGCTGAATTCGATATTTTCTCGGTTGTTGGTGCAAACAGGCCACTTCTGTTGGTTGATTTAAGGGTCATGGTAATGGATGATGGATTGATTAGGGTAAAGTTTGAAGGAATCAATGGAAGTCCAGTGGTTTGTGGGATATGTCTGAGGAAAGCGCCAAAGGTTTCAGGTAATGGCTCTTCTATTGTGCTTGGTTTTATTATGATTTTAACTAGTTAAGGGAATCTCAAAGTTTCAGTTTCCTTCTCATTCGTTGCATTACTTTACAGTTCCAAGGACATCACAAGACTATATTAAGTGTGAGAATTGTGCTACCGAAATAGAGATTTCTCCCAAACGGGTACTGTTTAACTAGCTTGCTGGCTCTTATTTCCTAAAAAACAGTTTGTGTTATGGATTGATTACCTGAGAGTCTTCTTCTTTATGTTGATATTTGAGCAGAAGAGACTTATGCGAGCCAAAGCTCATGAAAAGTATGAGAAGAAGATAGCAGAGCTTTCTGAACGATATGAACATAAGACAAATGAGTGCCACGAAGCATGGATGTCACTGACCTCTGCCAATGAGCAACTAGAGAAAGTGTTGATGGAACTTGACAATAAGATGTATGAGGCACGCTCTCTAGGTAATGCACATTGCACAACTTGGCATATCTGACATGTGGGTGAAAGTGGGAAATTCCCATCAATTTCAATCCAAGTTTGTTACTGTTATATCTTTTCTTTGATGGAGGTTTTCTTGCTTTTGATTCGGTGCTTACTTGAAACAGACCAAACTGTGGTAACACAAGCTGATTGTTTGAAGAGTATCACTAGCAAGTATGAGATTGACAAAAGACATTGGGCCACTGCACTTGATGCTCTACAGGAGAAAATAGAGGTAGCCGTGTATTTCCTTAAATGCTGTTGAATCAGAGTGTCACTGCAATACACATTTTTGAAAAAGATTCTCTTGTGGAATTTATGGAACTGTTTCTATGCAGATAATGAAAAGGGAACAATCGCAGCTATCACATGAAGCACATGAATGCGTGGAAGGGATCCCGGAATTGTATAAAATGGTTGATGGAGTTCAGGCCCTCGGTGAGTTCTTGAAAGTTTATAATTGAAAAGTGTTAAAGCAGTCAAGATGTAAAGCTCCCCCAGAGATGGGATTTATAGAGGTATTTCGTTGAACTAACATATCAACTTGTAAAAACAGTTTCTCAATGTGAGGATCTCAAGCAGAAATACAGTGAAGAGCAAGCAAAGCGAAAGGAGCTGTACAATCATATACAAGAGACCAAAGGCAAGGATTCAAATATTTTTAATTTGATTTTCTTTAGCTTTTTTACATCATACAAGTTACTGATACCATCACTATATCAGGCAATATTAGGGTTTTTTGTCGTTGCCGTCCTCTGAATAAGGATGAGACATCAACTAAGTCTGCCACAATTGTTGACTTTGATGGAGCAAAAGATGGAGAACTTGGTATTATTACAGGAAATAATTCCAAGAAAAGTTTCAAGTTTGACAGAGTCTATACACCGAAAGATGGTCAAGGTAGTTTAGTATGTCATGGTTAAGTTAGATCATCAAGTATTTATAACACTAACAATTAACGAAGTTTATATCTTGATCTTGCAGTTGATGTCTTCGCCGATGCTTCTCCAATGGTTGTCTCAGTGCTAGACGGCTACAATGTCTGTATTTTTGCATACGGGCAAACGGGAACAGGAAAGACGTTTACAATGGAAGGTACTCCACAGAACAGGGGTGTCAACTATAGAACCGTCGAGCAATTATTTGAAGTTGCAAGAGAAAGGAGAGAGACAATTACATATAATATATCGGTTAGTGTCCTGGAGGTCTATAATGAACAGATAAGAGACTTGCTGGCAACATCTCCAGCATCAAAAAAGTAAGAACTCTTTACATCATTAAATCCAAACCACAGGCATTGAAACAGAAACTCTCTACAGAGCTTGATTAAATATTTTTTCGATTTTACTACCAAGGTTGGAGATAAAACAATCCTCTGACGGATCCCATCAAGTTCCTGGATTAATAGAAGCAAATGTGGAAAATATAAATGAGGTATGGAATGTGCTTCAGGCTGGGAGCAATGCAAGAGCTGTTGGATCCAATAATGTGAATGAGCATAGCAGCCGTTCTCACTGGTATCTTGGGATATATGCCTCTCTCATCTTGTTTGAATGTTTGCCTTTCCCACATTTAATATCACATTATGAGGGTTGTTTAATATAGTAAGTTATTTTGCAGCATGCTCTCTATAATGGTCAAAGCAAAGAACCTGATGAATGGTGATTGTACAAAAAGCAAGCTTTGGCTTGTAGATTTAGCCGGAAGTGAGAGGTTGGCGAAGACTGATGTGCAAGGTGAGCGTCTGAAGGAAGCACAGAACATCAATAGGTCACTTTCAGCTCTCGGGGATGTGATTTATGCATTGGCAACAAAGAGTAGTCATATTCCATACAGGTTAGTCTAATAATTTGCATAATTATCTCTCTCCATCTCTGTGTGAGTTTTATACCTTGACTGCTTTAACACTTTCCAATTAATAAACTTTCAGGAACTCAAAATTGACACATTTGCTTCAAGACTCACTTGGTAAGAACATGACCTTTTCTTAAGTACCAATCGGTAATTAACTGTGTCTTTTGTAAACTGGTGTGTATTTGAAATTGGTGTAGGAGGAGATTCAAAGACACTGATGTTTGTGCAAATCAGTCCCTCTGAGCATGATGTTAGTGAAACTCTAAGTTCACTTAACTTTGCAACTCGTGTAAGAGGGGTTGAGTTGGGTCCTGCGAGGAGACAACTTGATACCGGTGAACTTCAGAAGATGAAAGCAATGGTATGGCTTCTGCAAGTTCTTTTTTTCTTCCTGGATTGTGTCTTAGCTATTCCTTATTTCTTCGTATATCACTCCTAAAGGTGGAGAAAGCAAGGCAAGAAAGCCGATCTAAAGATGAATCCATAAAGAAATTGGAAGAGAACATACAGAGCCTAGAAGGTAAGAACAAAGGAAGAGACCACTCATACAGAAGTCTCCAGGAAAAGAACAAAGAACTTGAGACCCAGCTTGATTTACTGAATAGCCAATCAGAAAAACAAAACGCTCAACTCCAAGAAAGACTAAAGAGCAGAGATGATATTTGCAGCAATCTCCAGCAAAAGGTTTGTTCTCTTAGTTTACTTCTGCTTAACATATTCTCTGTTACCATTTTATGGCTGAGACTGACAGTTAACATATCCCCATTAAAGGTTAAGGAGCTAGAGTATAAGCTTCGGGAGAGACACCAATCAGATTCTGCAGCCTACCACCAGAAGGTTGCTTGAAATCAATACTGACTGTTACTTAACTCTCTTAATGTTTTGTTGAGTGTTACCAAACTTAAAATAATCCCTGCAGGCTAAGGATCTTGAGAACAAGTTGAAAGAATCTGAGGGAAACTCCCTTGTGTGGCAGCAAAAGGTTAAATATTTTGAGAATAAGTTGAAGGAGTCTGAAGGCAACTCACTTGTGTGGCAACAGAAGGTTAGGAGGAGGACTGATGCAATCTCAAACTTTTCATCTTTTATTTGAAAATTTTGCCATTTCAATTTTTCTATTCGATATGGTGTCCCCAGATTAAAGAGTTGGAGATAAAACACAAAGCGGAGCAAAGCCAAGAAGCAGTGTTACTACGACAGAAGGTTCGTTTCATGGATTATCTCAGGATATTTAAGCTTCTGGTTCCCCATATCACCAGAGACAGAATGTTAAAACGGTTGAGTTTTTTTTGTTGTTGTTGCAGATTAAAGAACTTGAAATGAGGCTAAAGGAGCAAGAGCAGCATATACAACAAATGGCAACAACTAGAGAATTCCCAGATGTTGCAAATGCTACTCCTAATGAAGTGAGAACTTGCTTCAAAGACGATAACTTCGAGAAAGAGAATATGGAATCCAACAACAACATCCTGAGAACATCAAACCGTCTCAAGAATAAAAGGCCTGATTCATTAAATCTCAATGAGATGACTAGAAAGAAGAGAGCCTCGAGAAGCGGCGAAACAGAGAACAACGGTGATGATCCTCATATGAAGGAGAAACGGATCAGGAAATCAGACCCACCCAAGGTTCTTCTCTCCAGAGTAGTCAGACCAACAAGACCAGTTTCTGGTTCATCAAACCCAGTCCCTGTGGCTCACAAGAGAGTTATCAAAAGAGAACAACAAGATGTTCCGGTCGGAAAAGAGAGAGACCCCAAGAAGAAGATCTGGTCAAGATAGATATAAACAACTAAAGAGAGCATAGAGAAATTCTTAATCTCTTGCGATTCTCTATAGTCTACTTGATTCTATGTATGATTCAGACTTCAGAGGCATGTCATTCAGAACAACATAATATATAATTATTCTTAGTATTATTATATTAATCCAAGTGACACGAGCACATTAATAATGATAGAGAGTGACATTGTACTCAACAATAGCATCACCATTGGTCAAGTTAACAGAGTATGTATTGAGTAGAGCAACTCCTCTAGCCATCCTAAACCTTCCTCGACCTCCAACAACAGCGACCTCCCTCTCCTTGTCCATTATCGTATTCCTCGAAAACACGGCGAAGGAACTGCCATTAAACTTGCCTGAGGTGAATCCGAAGTCGATGTACATTGTCAAAGTTGGGACATGTTGTCCAGAGGAAACATACATCCCTCTAGCGTTCCCGATCATCTCAGATTTCGGGTCAGGTCCTACGGTAAGAGGGTCATCAGCGGCTAAAAGAGAGCCGAAGGGTGACGGAGCAGAGCTGTTGTGTCCTCCGGACTTGGCAATGAGGACAGCTGATGGGTCTGGTCCTCCGAGAGTGTCGTGAAAGAAGAAATGGAGATTTGTGACCACTTCTTGTTTCGGTGTGTATGGACGAGTGTTTGAGTAGTAGTCACCCAGAGCAAAGGTGATGCAGAGATGAAGACTGAACGCAACTATTCCTATTCTCTTCTCCATTCTCTCTATCTTTTAGTGCCTTTCGTTTTACATGTAATGTTAATACTCCCAAGTCCCAACGCTTCTTTTATAAATGATTTTTTTTGTGGTTTCTCACAAATCTATCCAAAATTAGTTAGAATTTTATTGATTTCAACTATTTATATTATGCAGCTTGTTTTCTTATTGGTTAATATTGTGTAAAAGTGGCTCTTAAATAATCTTTTGGTTTAAATATAAAAAAATAAAAATAAAAAATTTCTTTATCTGTATGCACAATATATCTTAAAAAATCATCTATATAAAAACGGAATGAGTAGTATATAAGTGGGAACAATGATTATAGATGGTCTAGAAGATACTAACTCAATAAGCCAGATTTTGGACAGATGTGAAATCAAATCCTTTATTCATTTGTTTCCATATGTGGTATGTTTTACATTAGCTAGTAAATGTCACACTACCAACTCTAAGATTGCTAATTACTTTAGGGGATTTGTTAAATTAATTATTTAGTTGAAAATTTTAAAAAATTAATATCACTTACCTAAACTATTCTTTTATTGATAATTTAGTTAAAAATCTTCAAAATAAATTGAGTGATACTTTAGAAAATTTCGTTAAAATTATAGTTTATGGAGTTGGTAGAGAGTAGATTACAGTAGGTGAAGAAGAGGACATGACAGTTCTAAAGACTAAAGTACTTTACTGCTTTACTGCTTTACTTCTTTACTGCTTTACCAACAAAAGCACAACACAAATCATATAACGTTAAATTGGTTCAATTCTACATACATACACATGCATCAAACAAAAATGCACAACACAAATCATATAACGTTAAATTGGTTTTATTATATATCATGCACACATCCTTCATATTACATTCAAATAAATAAAATAAAGCTAACTCTAATTACAAAGAACATATCTAATTAACCTAACTCTAATTTCAAGTTCTTAAAGGACTTTCAAGACGAATATAATCATACATGATACCTTGAAACGGTGTTAAACTTCTCGTTTGAGTTAAATATATCGTATTATCACCAATGTTTAGCAAACCTCCCGCAACGTCGATACTATACAATCTATATAAACCATGTATTCCATGTCTCGCGATCGCATTGTCTTTTCCGATGTAACCCGACATGAAAATATGGTCGGATTTCGGATCGTTGATCCGGATTTGTAGTTCCGAATCCGCGGCTGCGGCTAGAGCTATTCTGAGCGTGTAGAGTCCGACTTGGTTCACGTTTTTAAGGTTGAATATGATTTGCCATGTCGTTGGTTGGTATGTATCGTTTCCAACGTTTCTGTATAGTTAAATGTAAAAAGATTAGATAAAATTTTAATATAAGCATTGTAATACAAATTGTTATGTGTATTTTTTCACCTGGTGACATGTGCAAAGAACCAATCTCTTGTATAATCACTCACACCGACTGTGTACACAAGATCGTTTTGAGGGTATAAATCTGCGTAACGTTCCCATAATCCATATTGCCTAAACCTGCGATAGTTAAAATATTAACAAAAACTATGAAATAACAAAACCAAAACAAAAAATGAAGAATGTAACGATCCTCTAAGTTATTATATAAACCGAACCATAACCAAACTCAAAACTAAGTCGAATCAAACTAAAGTACTAACCTGTCTTGAAGTGGGTTGACATAAAGCTTATTCATCAATGTCGGGTAAGGATCCGGTATATAGAATTCTCCGGCGGTTCGGTCCGGTACACCGATCTCCCAAATCGTTGGACCATTTCTTGGTGGTTCATACACTATAGGACCTACATCCATCACACTACCTATATATACACCCCCAAAAAAAAAAAAAAAACGTAAACACAAACACATAATCATATAATTGGAACCAAAGAGCATGATTCTCTAATCATGATCTATATATGTGTTTCTAAGATATAGGCCTAAACAAAACATTCTTAATTGATTCGATATCACTTATATAACTAGTGAACTGTGAGATCAAAGCATCCTTCTCTATTGCTATGATCAAAATGGGATTTAAAATACGTGGTATATGAGTGTGTGTATACCTGGCGTGATGGTAATGTTTTGCTCATATTTATAGTCTCCAATGAAACCAAAACCCCATGCGTAGAGACTATAATTGCCTTCTCTCACATTCTCTATTATGAATCTCCCTTTTCTGTCAGCTTTCGTCCAAAATTGATACCCCTTTTTGTCACACAAATAAAATTAAAATTAATATAGACTATACAAAAATCAACATAAAAGAGGTGTCACGCTCATATAATACAATGTATAAAGTATGAGTATAGATTTATTTGTATACCTTGGATTCGGTTTGCCATGAACCGGCTTCACCAATTGGTGCCAAACCAACAAAAGCAAATTTCCCATATATCCTTAATCTTGACACGTACCTACAATATTGTATATAATCCAAAGCAAACTAAGAACTCTTAAAACAATGGTCAAGAAAAAAGAACAATTATGTTTTTATTAAAGATAGAAAATATAAACGTCTTATATTACCTGTCTTTGATAAGGAATTGGCCTTCGATAGTGCCTCTTTGATGGCGAAGAGGATAATCTTCTGAAGTTACAAAATCATAAGGCCAGCTTTTGACCTCTGCAGCCATCTGAAAAGTTACAAAATCACAAGTTTCGGATAAGAAAATTTCGTATATTTTACACAATACAATACAATAGAGTGATCCACGAACAAAACTAAAGAACCTGTCGTTTAGCATCTTTCCATAGACGAAGAGTGGAGTCTTTGGGAGAAACAGAGTTGAGATAAGCCAAGACAGGACCAAACACTTTCTTCCATGGTTCTCCATTTCTATAGTCCATTCTCATCTCTTTCCCTGCGTAATGTGTGCTCGTGAACATCTACAAAAATATTATTAAATTTTATTAACAATTTAAAAAAATTATTATTATGTAATCAATAAAAATGTATGATAAATGGACTCACGGAGAGGGTGATGGGTCCTGCATGAGAGGTGAGGTCTTGCTTGATAGGGCCACCAAGACGGAACTCATCGCTCGGAGTTATCATCCAAAACCCAACCGGAGGGTCCGATGAGATCCAACCATGCACATTGTTGTCTTTGTCTTCCATTGAGTACATATACTTATCGTCTACCTGCATGCGTCACACCACCATATATATATAATTCTCTCATATCTTCTAATGCAACATTTTATTTTTTTAAAAACAATTGTCTACATTGTACGTTATAGTGTATATTAATCTTTTGTACCTCTCCTTTGAACATAGGGTTCTTTGGATTTGTCAAAAGAACAGCTTCTTTGTAACCTAATTGCTTAGCATTGTCTCGATCCGCCATCGATGGCATGCTTCTCTGCCTATCATCCGATAACGCCATGAACTCAAATCTGAAATTTGCATCCGAAAGGTACAAAACAATTCACTAATTAATGAACTAAGCTAAAATTGTTATTTCTAAGTGTATAAATGTGTACTTAAATTAGTGGAAAAAATGGATAGTTACGTACTTTTTTGGGTTGAGTTTGAAGACGATCCTGATTTGGTCCATGTCCACGTCGGGCCAACCTTCTAACCTCTCCAAGATACCGTACATGTATATTCCGGAGACACCACTTCGAATAATGTATCTTTAACAAAATATGCATTTGATTACTTTGGAGATTATATACATAAATATATCTTTATTATAACGATGATCTACGTACGTACCTTTTATCTACGTTAAGGGGGACTAAGGAGCCACGTTTGGAGATAGTCCACGTTCTTGTAAATGAAATTTCAACTTGTTCTTCATTCTGAGTTATGATTTCAAATTTACTTCCTTCTAATCTACGAAATACACACACACAGAAACATATTAAGTGAAAATATAAATTTATCGAATTATTAGGTTAACAAAACTATAATCTATATTATATTGTCTAAGAATGGTCCTCACGTGAAGCATAAAAATTTATAAAAATTTCTGCGAAATATATATCAACAAAATAAGACGAGGAAAGTCTATGGAAAACTCACTTGTCAATTTCCAATTTCTTGTGCGGCTCATACCAGGTAACGTCCCAATACCTATTTCCATAACAATACAAACAACAAAAATGCAATTACTAAAAAGTTGTATGCATTCGTATGTAATTATTTTGTTTTCTTAATGTAACATGTTCCAAACGTATAAAGAAGTTGTGTTTACAAACTCTATTATGTTGAAGGAATAAAAGAATATTACCCTCGATCCTCAATTTCGTCGTCCAACACATTATCGATACCATGGTATCTTATCCCAGTTATTAAGCCTTGTGGATTCGAGAAAGTAACTTGAATAATACCATTATCAATTACCACCTGATTAAAACCAACAAAAGAATTATTATATCGTAGTATATGATATGGTATATAAATGTAATAAGAAGTGTGGAACAACTCTTACCTTGTCATGACTAACTCTCCTTAGCTGAACTGTTAAGGCAGGTGGTATGTTTTGTCCAGGATTTGTGATGTTAAGTTTGTTTCTGTAATAAACGAAAAAATTGTAGCAAAAACATAAATCAATTAGTCCAAATCCTAGAGAGGGTTAAGTAATTTTGGATTAGAAAATATTCATGATTTTATTTAAAACATAAATATTACTACAACTTAATCTGTCTAATTAGGGTAGATTAAATGAAAATCAAAATTTAGTTTATGGTACGAACTCCACTATGAATATGAATGGTCAAATTAGTTGAAGTCTTTGAAGAGTGTAGAAGACGAAAAGAATAATTCCAATAGAGGGAACACAAATATCCATCATGGTATTAAAAGGCATAAAGAACATAAAGTACATATACATATATTAAACAAACAATATATATATTTTTATACTCCAAAAACACCAAAAATATTCGTATTATGTGTGAGAGAATTGAGAAGAAGACAAGTAGTTCAAAGAAAATAAAATAAAAAAAAAGACAAGTAGGTTTTGAGCCGAAAGGTATAAAAAGCAATGCACTATTTTTTCTAAGGTTTTGTAATTAAAAAAACAAAAAGAGATTAAGGTTTACGATTAGTGTTAAGATTAAGAGTTAAGACCAATTCCATTAATTAAATAAATATTCCTTGTCGTTTAACGTTAGTAACTTTTTGACACACGTCTCTTGACAATCTTCGGTTTCGAGATTCTCTCTCAGATATTTTTCGTACGTTATAAACTTTGAATGTTTTGCTATATGTATTTTTTCTTCTTTTTTTTTCTGACAATTTCTATCTATATAATTACGTGCATTGTGTTCTAAATATAAAACCCAAAATTAAAGAAAGTAGTCAAGCAGTGTCATTACCAACGAAACGTCAAATCAATGTATGTTTTGGTAAAGCATTTGTTATATATTCAACGAAACCAAAACAAAATAAATTAAGAGAATATTCTTTTGTCAAAATAAAATAAAAGTTAAAGAATACAATATAGGTTATACATAATTACTTCAAGATCGAAGATTTAATATGGAAATGGAATCAACGAAAATTTCGCTCTCATTTAATTATATTAGCCAAAATTTAGGCTAAAACATTAATTACACATATTTAAGGCTTTGTATTTTATAACATCTTCATAAAACTTTTTTAAAAGACAAGACAGGATTACAAAAAATAGTACACCAGATTCTGATGAAAAAAGTTAAGAACGTCTCTCTATCTCTCTCTCTCTCTCTCTACTTGTTCCTTTCAGTACGTTTTGACATGTGAACTTGTAAATTTTTTAAAGCTTGTGATATCAATGTTTTTGCATTAGAAAACAAAACTAAGGTTTCTTTTATTTTTCTTGGTCACCACAAAACTAAAGGTTTAAAAAACAAGAAAACAAATAAAGTAAAAACAAAACCCGACCCGACACAAAAAACAGAGATGGGTTAAGAGAGAAACAAAAAAACATACCGTGAGTTCTGACAATGAACACTTTGAAGAAGAAGAAGATGTAGAAGAACTTGGACGATGACCCGACCCGGCTTATTCGCCGGAGCTCCGATCTTCATCTTCTCCGCCACAATTCACTAAACTTCCGACATAGAAACCAAACGTTAATGCAGAGACTATGTGTGTATATATATATAGACACAAGTATTGAGAAAACGTTATTTAAGGGTTTAACTTAAAAATGGGTTAAAATTATAATTAAAAAACAAATTAAAGAACAATGAAAAGTAATTTTAAGTGTACCTTTAAGAATTTTTTCTTGTGAGTTTGGGTTTTCTTGAGGAAGATAAAAATTTATTTGGAGGAATGCAGAAGAAGAAAGTAAAGCTTTTCTTTTAACCTGTGAAGAAGGTAATGTCTCTCTCTCTCTCTTCTCTCTTCTCTCTTCTCTTTTCTCTCTTCTCTCTAAACTTCACTGATTATTCTTTTTTTTTTTTTATGAGTTCTCACAATAATAATCATAGGATTAGAATCTTTAAGAAGCTTTTTATATATATGTAGAAATGTGTGTATGTGTATTATGTATATGTAAATGTGTACGCGTACGTAATTGATCTACACCAATCTCTAATGTTGCAGGTGTGACTTTTTTGCTGCCTAACCTTTTCATCTTTTTCCGAAGAAAGAAAAACAAAAATAAAGAAGAGAAATATCATATTAATTTAATAGTTTTTGTTTTTCAACTGAAGAAATTAAATACTTATTCTTAATCCATTAAGTACGCTAACTAATACATTCATCACATAAATAATAACATATACTATATGCTCTACATTTATTAATAATATTACAACTTTTAAAATTCGGATTTAATGAAAAAAAAATAAAAAGAAAGAAAAAATAAGAAGTTTATAAATTCTCTAGCTACTACATTTAGGAAAATAAGGTACATTAATAATTACTATTAATTTAATGAACATGGTTTCCAAAGAGACAGTACAGAACTTTGATCCATCCTTAAGAACGAACGATTAACATTTACCAATTAAATAAGTAATAAGTACTTTTTTACATTTCATATTGAAATTTGTCAAATTGAGCAATACCTCATTGTCCCCATGCGCAAAAAGTTTTTTGCATCTTGTGTTGTCGTTTCTATGATGATAATTATGCTTATGAAACTTGTTGACACCTCTTTGTCTATAATTTGTTGTAAAGTTTCATTTATATGTTTTTTGGCATTTTTTTTTGAATAATAAAAAAGTTCTGGACGAAATCTATATATTCCCTTAAATCCGAGACCATAGCATGTTATGGTCTCGTTCCAAGCACTTTTCGAACCGGCGACTTCTAAATTTTTGTTGGCATTTTATTTACTCACAATTTACTTTAACGTTGTTAAATTATAAACTTGAAAGTAAAATTTACCCCAAAAAAATGATTAAAGTATATTATATTTACATATATACAAAAAGGCTGCCAAAATATATATTAACAAAAGCTGTTTTTTATTGACATTTAATGGAAATATCCAAGAAATGGCTGCCAAAAAACTACGTCAAGAATTAGAATATAGTATATGGTTTTGTTTTTTCTTCAACAATGAAAAAAATATGTTATTTCTTTGTATAAGAAAATTCGTTGATTTGGTTGGTCATATTATCAAACAGATTTCGTCAATCGGTCAGAGTACGGTCAACTTACCGTATCTTAGGCGAAGTACCAAATTTTTAGAAATTGTAAAATTAATAATTACCAAATTGGCACATAGAAAATTTAGACCTCTAACGACGACTTTTTATAGAGATACATCAATATAAATAATAACTATTTTTATTAAAATATTCAAGTAAGTGTAAAGAAATAACCAAAACGACGACTTATGTGTTGAAAGTTGAAACACCCAATTCTTTTGAATAGGCACAAAGTGTCAAAACTCAACAAATTATGATCTACAGTATATAAATATGTAAAGAATAATCACTAGTCGTTTATTGCCAAATTTTTAGGAAAAAAAACAAGTAATCTTTTTTTCTTTCTTCTTCTTCTTCCTCTTCTTCAAGTAATTTGGTGCACGTTCTTTTAAATTACTTAGAGAATTGTCAAAACATTCAAAAGAAACAGATTTGACTGGATTATGGTATTTTTGTTTATACAGTGTCAAATACTTTAAAAACATTTAACATGTTTCTTATGGTTTATACTTGTGCCAAATAAAAAGATCACAATTCAAGAAAAAAAAAACACATACGTACTAGTAAATAAGTAAAAAATGAGGCTTTGGATACTATAAGATATGCACATCGATCCACTATATATACCAAAATCCTTATGTTTATGGCTGTGCAGTAACAATGTTACTGTAACATAAACAAACATTCTAAAGTCGGATGGATTTATATACTAATTACTCTATGTTATGTAACAAAACTATGCACCACTAATAAATCTACATATAGATTAGTAGGAGGAGTTTATTAAGAACAAGGTTAACATATGTTAATGGATTAGTTCGTAGGGCATCAATATTGGCCAAACAAAATACAAAAATTAAAGATGATGACATAATACCGAACTAACGGTCTTAATTTGACTCCCAAAAGGTCATCAACTAATTTATATATTTTCCTAAGCATATGTATAACGAAACCGCATATTATGTTTTAGACAAGAAAAAGTTACATGGTAATTAGGTGATAATGAGATGATCTAACTCTACTACTTTTTGAATTACTTTTTAGATATATAACTATCAAGTGATTAAGACAGGTTTAGTGATTTCAAAAGTTGAATGTTTCTTTACGAATAAACTTTTCTTACACTATTCTCGAATAGTTTTATTTACACTATCTATCTCGAAGACTCGAACCATTATATAATCGAGTAAAGACATCCACCATATTTGATAAAACACAAATGATGGCGCATCAAAGCCGACCCATTATATACACACGACGACACAAACATAATTAAAATAAACGTAACAACTAAGGAAACTTGTATACTTATGTGGCTGTAAGCAAAATAGAGGTGTAGTTTTAGCACTAATTAATAAAGCTTATAATACTATATAGTATACACGATCAAATACGTATATAATTTTATAAATGAAGATAGGGATTAATATAATAACGACGGCGAAAATGGGTTACAGCAGCTGCTCTCGGTGGTGGTTTCGTTGGTGCAAGACAAAAATATATTTCAAAGTAGGTTAGTTAGAATGGTGGAGATCGACTATTTTAAAATTTTCAATTCTTTATTTCCACTTTTGAAAAAAGAACAAATTCACATTTAATTTTCTTATTTCACAAGTCAAACTTATGGTTGAGTTCTTCTTTTTCTTCTTCCCCGTAAGGCCGTAAGTTTTATTTTTTTTCAACGTATCGTAAGGTTAAAGTTGTTGAAACGCCTATGTACGTGTATTATATGTATAGTTCACTCTAGTTAATTATAGTATATATATATAGAGTAATAGAGTTGGTTTGATATTGTTGAACTAAGATTTTGATATTCATGTGGCTCTTTGAACGATTGAATATTTTGAGTTAAAAAGTTGGTAATTTGCTTAACTTCCACAAATTGTAATTTTGGGAAAACATTACTACAAAAACTCTAGTATGTGCTGTTTTTGTAATAGAAAATTTAAAATAGACAGTTTTATTTACTTTTTTTTTCTTGTTCTATTTGGGAAGTTGGTGAGAATTGAGGTTTCAAAGAATGACTTCTTGTTTATGTTCCATAAATTTCAAGAACCACAAATTTATGTTCTTACGAGATTCTTCCTATATATAGATAACTTAATTAGTTTGAAAAATACCACAGTCTAAATATAATTATGAGTGTTTTGCATTACACAAAAGATAATAAAACTACATGAATAACAAGTGTGTGTAACATATATATTGGATAAAACACATTAACATTAAACAATTTACCCTATTAACACGTACGTACACCATAAATCATAATTTCATATTAACAACTTAAATCAACACTCTTTATGCTATGCCACTCAGCCTACTCTATTATTGTTCTAACTCTTTCAAATTGCTAGTCATGTGCATACGATTTCACTTTTTTCGTTCACTTTTCTTTTATATTAAACCTATTAACTTAAAATAGAAAAAGAAAAATTTATGTAGTTGAAACTTGAAAGTGTCTTTAGAAATTGATCATATATAGAACTCTAGAAGCATATTTTGTACGTTGAATATAGTCCATTAATTACACTAGACTAAATCACTATAAAATTCTGACGAAATGTTTGAGATCACAAAATTAACAACTATAATAAGACTAAATCATGTGTTTCTGGTGAACAAACGTATATAACTTATATCTTTTCGTCTACTGTTGTTTTAGTTGACCCTAAGTATAACTTATAGTTTTGCTACTGTTATGTTATTGAGTATTCTATTTGCTTTTCGAGTTTGGGATCACTAACTCCAGTGAAGGACATATAAAAGTTAATTAGATTGTTGCTTCTAGAAAACTAATTAACGATTTATATTATAATTAGAGAAGTGGAAGAGAAGAAAGGACAAAGATTAGTCACGTGGATAACATCATTCATTATTGAGTTGAGGATATTCATACATATATAAAGCTCACAAGACTTGCTTAATTATGTCTCTTTTTGCCCTTTACCAAATTGTTCCTTTCTACGTTTTGTAGATTCTTCCACATAAATGATAACATGTGTCATCTTGTTTCTGCCATTTTCTCTTCGTTTTTTTTAAAGAGAGATCTCTTATTTAGTGGCTCACTAGAATAAAAGTTAGTGGAGATAGATATGTGAATGTCAATGACTGAATCAGTATTTCAAGATATCCGCAAGCTTCCCCAACCAATATTTTTCATATTGGGCCCTTAACCAGGCCGTGAGTCCAATAAGAGAATGTCGGAGTTTCCTATTTGGGGTCCATATAGATTATGTCCTCAATCAAATTAAAGGAAGGGACATTTTAAGGGTATGAGATGTTTTTTTTTTCTTTTTTTTTTTACCATGGCGAAATTGTGATTTTAATTATGGATTACTTTACGATATGACATATACATATGAATAACACTTGAAAAAAAAAAAAAACAAGGTGGCTTATCATGTAGCTCGAATGGACCGATTTGTTCTTTTTCTTCTTTATTCAGATTATAAATTCGAAAGGATTATCCAAAAAATTGTTAATCCATTGTTAATCGCCATAACTATTTTAATTTCAAATCCTTAATTAATTATAGATTTTTTTTGTAATTATCCTTTTCCTAATTACGAAAATTGCCAGTTATCTGTTTCAATTTTGTTCAAAATCAAAGTCCTCAAATCAAGTTTTTCTATAATGACATCTCCATAATCTAGCTCAACATTTGACTACCTATTATACATCTTGTTAGCATAGCATGAGAGCACCTATGAGAGAGTAAAAATACTTACACATTGACTTAAGTCGACCTAAATTCTGGAGACTAAGAATTACGATAAGCTCTACAAATATTGAAGTATACAATCAATTTAGTTATAAAGTGGATTATGAAACTCCAAAAAGGGTCAGACATATATTTAAAAGAGTTTATAATTAAGACTCTAAAAGTATAAACTTCATGTACAAATTTTGTTTCCTAATTGTTTTTTGTTTGTTTTTATAATTTTGATTTATTTTTAAATATAGAATTATATGACATATTGTTCTATTTTCATTCATTAAGTTAATAGGAAATGAATAAGGAGGTTCACCCAAATATTGTTCTCTTAGTAAATATCAAATGTAAAATTGTTTTCTCTTGGTAACAACCTTAAGTTTAATTTCTTTCCTTTTTTGTCTTTAATTTTGCATTTGAATAAGCTCACTTGAGCACGAATTTTTTTTTTCATGAATCTATTATTGTTTCTAAATTCCTTCATATACAAGACACATCTCTCTAATCGTTTATATATTCCAAAAGAAATTTATATTGATGATTTGACTTGAGTCATGGTAACACGAGAAATGTAAATATGCAGAAACTATAGGGAAACAATATAGCCAATGTTGGGGTATTTAGAAAATGTGAAGATGTATATCAAATGGGATACTATATATAGAGAATATCATAACGTTAACTCATAAGTGCGGACTACATTAGAAAATGTTTCGTACAAATAACTTTATTGGTTATAACCCAATTATACTACACAAGAGTTGATGTAGTATTAGTAATTTTATAATTTTTTAAAAATGGGATTAACATAACCATCTCTTACTGAGAATATAAACAATGAAGCGCTATCATGGCCAACAAACTTGGAACATATAGTACAATTGCAACCAGTGTTCAAGTTCCAACGACTCAAATTTCAAGCTTTAGTTAAAGAGTAATATATTTAGTAAGAACCTGAGAAAATGAGTGCTCTTTATTTTATGAAGTTCACGTGAAAGAGTACTGATCACTATCACTTTCGGTAGTTCTATCTCATGAACTTCATAGATCTCGAATGTACATATAGTTCTAATTTCTAAATATAGCAATCATGACTAAGATTATGTTAATGCAATTTTGGAATCATCTAATTTAGATTTAATATTTCTGTATGTATATGTTAATGAAAACACATACAGCAAAAAAAAAAAATAATAATGAAAAGAAAAGAGCTACTGTTAGAAGATCATAAACATCATATGTGTGTATGTGTGAAAATATCATATGTGTGAAGATCATAAACATCATATGCATCATATATATAGATTCTTAATAATTTTGTTGTATACTGAAATATCAAACCAGGTAATAACCTTTTTTTGTTTTTCTTTTTACTTTTATACATAATTGATATCATATGTGTGTATGTGTGAAAATTATATGATCATACTCAGGTGATATACAAATTAGTCCTATAATAATATGTGATTACACAAATCAAATTCAAATGTAATTGTGAAAGGTAAAGGTTAAAATAAAGTATTTATTCTTTAGGAAAAAACCAAAATCTTACGTTCGAAGATCATCACTGATGGTTGACGTCTGGCAGGTAGATTTTGTTTTCTTTTATTAGTTTCATTTTTAAGGATATAATAACAAAACATAAATAAAGACGAACAACAAAAAAAATAAAAAAAAATAAAGACGAACAACAAAAAAACTCTTATATTTTTTGTTGGAGACTCGAGATCTGATTGGTCAAAAACAAACCCACGTGAGGTCACCATGTATTGTCATTTTGGGTCTCACCTGAACTCTTAAAAAGCTTTGCAGTTAGCAAATCTAGTGATACTAAACTTTACTAGGGAAAAAAATAGCTGAAGATAATTTTACTTAAACACTGGTTTCAAGAAATTTAAGCTTAATTAGTAGTAATTATATAAGCGCTAGCTAGATTTCTGCATGTTATGATAATTAAGAAAATGTATCATATTTTTTGGAAAACTATTATAAATTTATATAAAGATGAATCAAGAAACTTCACACTCCTTTTGTAGTCTAACTATTGATTGTTTGTTAGGTTATATATGTAGGAGTATAAGGATTAATCATATTGGAAAATACATGTTGAATCTAATATATGTGGTTTAGAGATTAAATTTTATGCTAATGGCAAGCTCGAAAACATAGTACTAACATAATTATGTATATACAATGAATAAAAAAACTTATACTTAATTACTTATATATTTTCTTTTTAGTTTCATCCTCAATCTGACTTTTTGTATTTTTGGATTACAATAATTTTCTTACATTTTTGGTCTAAAAGCTCTTCCACTAGAATAAAAGCAAGTTAGTTTAGTGTATCCTCTCTTCAACATCGACAACTCGAGATCTTGATGCTTATATATTTTGGAAAGTATCTTTTTTAACAAAATTTATATGTAAGGCTAAACACAATTGTATATATAGCAAAAGAAATGGATCAGGTGTACGACATCTATGCTGATGACGAGGAGCGTGCAAAAGCATCTCCAAAATTAGCATTTCTGATCAGGAGCTGTTTCTGCTACTCTCACGTGTACGACTGTCACATATTTATGTATTCCAACCTTATAATACATATATTTACTTACATATATTGTTATATAACGTTGGTCATTTATACGAAACTTAAAAAAAAAGAAACATAAATCCATTTTTTAGTTTGGTTTACTTGGAATAACCAATATATTGTATATAGTATGTTTTAAAGAACTACAATATTCCTATTTGGAAACTACAATATATTTTAAATAACTTGCCCTATTTGGAAACTTGCTTAACCTTGTTTATATATCTCATGTAATATGTACATTATCTTTAGGTAATAAACATATGTTACATTACTAAATAGCCCTCAAGAAGTTGTATCAACCAATACAAACGACTAAACCAGATAATCCTTTGTTTATTCCTCGAATTGTTGACTCTTCTTTTTCGTCTCTCTCTCTCTCCTCTTTCTCCTGATTCGTTCTTCTTCATCTTCCTTTGGTCTTTCGAAGATCTAGAAAAAAACCCTAGAAAAGGGAAGATCACCAAGATCGAGAGGAAGATCAAAAGAGAGTTGAAATTGATGGGGAGAGGGAAGATTGTGATCCAGAAGATCGATGATTCGACAAGTAGGCAAGTCACTTTTTCCAAAAGAAGAAAGGGTCTCATCAAGAAAGCTAAAGAACTTGCTATTCTCTGCGACGCCGAGGTCGGTCTCATCATTTTCTCCAATACCGACAAGCTCTATGACTTTGCCAGCTCCAGGTTTCTATCTTCTCTAATCAATATACACTTAGATCTTTTACCATCTACATACCTATTAGATAAAGATGTATATGTATATATATATGTATGTATTTGTAAGTCTATTAATACGTGAAGTATATATATATATATATATATGTACAATATCATGTATGGTTGTCTTTAAAGGGTTGGACTAATTTAACAATTTGTGTTCACTTGTGTGATTTTCTCATATTTAGTATACATTTTTGTGCATCTTGTGTCAGATATATTGTTCTCTACCTATATTTCAGTATATACACAAGATTGATGATGAATGTATAGCTTAGTTTAAACGAGGATGCCAAAGGCAACGAATCGTAATTAAAGACAATTACTAGTTTTAAAGATGAAAATTTAATCTAAAGTAGGCTTATTATATGTGTGGACATGTGTGTCATTGGTTGTAAATTGTGTATCTGGACCGACAGTGTGTCTTTGCCAAATTTAGAAACATCTGAGAAGTAAATGTGTTATATATATATATATAGTAATAAGCTCAACAAGTACAACGTTGGAAAACTAAAAGAGTGGTACAAGGTGATCACCATAAACACATTTGGAGATGATATGTGTAAGATGATGTTTATTTCACTCATGAACTAGTAAATATGAATATAGATCTCAATATTTTGTGTATATTGTACTATGCTTGAACAATCAGGTGACTCTGTATGATCTGACCATATATGACTGTGTTCTTTTATATTATCACCAAAAAAAATTGAACAAACAAAGTCTTTGTTGTAAGTTTAGGATCTTCCAAATGTGAATAATTCATATTCATTTTCGAATTAGATCAAAATTTATCTTATGTTAAGAACCTTAATTTAGTTTGTTATAAAGTTATTAATGATATGCATATAGATTGTTTTTTCTTATGTACAATCTGTAAACCTTTTAAAGATTTTTTAAAGAGTGGGAAAATTTATCTAAGGAAGTCATACTCTTTATTCCATTAGCAGTGGAAACATATAGAAATACTATTTTGCTACATGGATAAATACTATATATGAACTAGTTAAGAGTTCAAAACTTTGTAATGAAACAGTGTGAAATCTACTATTGAACGCTTCAATAAGACCAAGATGGAGCAGCAACAACTACTGAATCCGGCATCAGAAGTTAAGGTATACGTATATCAGAAAACCTCACAATACATCAGAGGAAAGGACAATTATACACTAGAGATCTTAATCATCTTGTTTGTATTATATTACACTTGAGTTTGAGAGTTGATGAGTTAGATTGTGTGGCGTATTGTAGTTTTGGCAGAGAGAAGCTGAAACTTTAAGGAAAGAACTACACTCATTGCAAGAAAATCATCGGTAAGTGCATTGCTATACAATTGAGTGTAATCGTGAGTTTTCCAACTCAAAACTTATAGGTAGTGACTAAAATTAACTTTATCTTATGTACTAGTGATGTTGTGAATAGCTGTGTTGACTAAAATAAATCAGTTATGGTTTCACAATGTATTAACGGCAATTATGTTTTGTAATAAAACAGACAGCTAACTGGACAGCAACTAAATGGTTTGGGCGTTAAACAATTGCAAAATCTAGAGAGCCAACTTGAAATGAGTTTACGTGGAATTCGTATGAAAAAGGTAATATACATTAAATCTAGATATATGAATCCTCTAGCTCTCGTTCGTGTTGGTTTAAACAAATCAATCTTTCCGAACCTTGCAGGAACAAATCTTGACCAATGAAATCAAAGAACTAACTAGAAAGGTAACATCACTATATATATACCAAGCTAATTCTTATGAAATTGCTAAATTTGTAAACTCTTCTTTCTTCATGGAGAGAAAATATACTTGAGATTGTTGTGTTGAACTGTGAATGTTGTGTACACATGTAAACGCATAATAAATAATGTTATCATATAGTTTTTCAGGTTCTTATAAGAGTTTTATCTTTTGCAGAGGAATCTTGTGCATCATGAAAATCTCGAATTGTCGAGAAAGGTACAAAGGATTCATCAAGAAAACATCGAACTATACAAGAAGGTAAAATAGAGAAACAAACTTCATTACTTGAAGCTGCATCTAATAAATACTTTAAACTCCTAGTTGAAAAACTAGACAAATTATAGAAATAATTAGTTACAAAAGTGGTAGTACTATATATGGTCTATGGGGTAATGATCTTGCAGGCTTATGCAACGTCAAACGCAAATGGATTAGGAAATAATGAGCTAGTAGATGCAGTTGATGAATCCCATGCAGAGGTTAGGCTGCAGCTAAGCCAGCCTGAGCAGTCTCATTATGAGACTTCATCAAAGAGCAAATAAGATCATAAAAGATATAACAACTTGTTCGTTCTTGATTATCTCAAAAGCTTTTCAACTACATGACCGACGTATATGCAGAGAAACACTTCGTTTAACTATGTCAATATGTTTTCATGCAGAAGCAAGTGCGAGTATAATCATCATGTCGGAGAACAAACCAAAGGTTTGATTTTGTACGAATATATATGGTCTCAAGTGAAAGTAATGGAAGAGCTTCTCGATTTTTTTGTTGGCTTTCTTATGTGGTTTAAAGTATATAATTAAGACATAGTTAATTAGTAGGGTGATCTTTTTTAAAATCGATTTGAGTTCAGTTAGGTGTTTCAGTTTTTCTTTTCTATTCGGTATGTATAACTAAAGTAAATTAAAGTTGATCTTTGATATAGGTCGGGTTTGTACGAGTATTTTTGTTTATCAACAATAAGCATCATACGGTGTTTGAATTAGGATGGTGACGCATCAACAACATTACCACAAACCAATGGACTATATGTCATGTCATGTGTGTGTGTTTTCGTTGTAAGAACCCCAAATCTAGTTGAGCTGACCCAAATGGACAGTTCCTTGATTGACAGTTAGGATGTTCCCAAAAGAAACCAAGAGATAAGGAACCTCTTACGGTACTTATACGTACCAACGACAACCATTACTCAAATTAAAAGTGGTTCAAAACAAAAATGCCAATAGCCAAAAGCTACACAAAACATATTTACGCATCATTATGCTAGTTGTGTTCTAAAGGAAGATACATATCGAGATTTTTAATGTAGGGTGATTCAGTTGAGATCATTTGTTCTGTATAATTTATAAAAGATTAGTAAAAGCAAAAAAATTAGGGTATTCGTTTCAGGTATAAAGAACCCGACAAAGATGAACGTATATTAAAATCAAATGTATCGACACGATACAAAGAACAAACTCCTAGAAACTAGCGGTGTTAAACGACTAACATATAGACATTGTTTAACATATCTCTTAAACCACTATGTCTTTTGGTCGTATACTCGTATTCAGTAAAAAAATATATAACAAAACAAATAAAAGTGAAAATATATAAACAGTAACAATAATCCCATGATGCGTCGTGAAAAAACCATAGTTTTGTCTTGGTTGAGTTCTCGTTTCTCTCTACGTATGATCTTTCCAAAGAAAATGTATATTTGGCTTAGACCAACAAAACAATTTTTACATCAAATAAAAACTATCCATCTTTGGTCTAGACCAATAAAACAACTCTTCCATCAGATAAGAACCCATTAACCAACCACCATGTGGTTTACATTGTATGTATATATAGGCAATGATCATTTTACATCTCATAGATAAATTTACAACTTCTAATTATATTGGAATGTTGTGGATGCGGAAGAACAAACACTATAATAATACATGCATCTTCGAAATATATTATAAATGTAGGGTAGCATATACATAGTGCTACAACCAATGAGCATACCAAATTAATTCACTAGACTTATCTTCAATTCAAAGACTCAAAGATTGGTTGTAATAGTTTAAAATGTATAAGTAAGGAACCAAGAATTGCGACATCTTTTAATTGATAGTGACATTTGAATAGAACGAAAAAGATTGAATACTAACTACGCAATCTACAAATATTATTAAACCAAACCGGCCTACCCAAGTGGAAAAATATATTCGCAATAGCAAAATTATCATAAATTATAAATTAGCCCCTTATATTTTGGTCTTTCTCTCATAAAACACCCGTGTCTTCTTCTAATGTCACTTCGTCTTCTTCATCAAAATCACACATCATCTAAAAAAGAAGAAACAACCTACGAGAAAAAGGACGATAAAAATTCAGAAACTTTTTCTTCTGACCCTTGTTCTCTCTAATCGATTGCTCAATCATTTTCTTCACAGTTGGGTTGAGTTTGAAAAAAGGTAAATTCAGAAAATAAAAGCTGCAGAATTTGAAATCTGAGTATCGCTGTGTGTGCGAAGAAGAGTTTTTTTTTTGGGGTTAGTAATGGCGAAAGCAGGAGGGATCACGAACGCTGTAAACGTAGGAATCGCAGTTCAAGCGGATTGGGAGAATCGAGAATTCATTTCACATATCTCTCTCAATGTTCGTCGTCTCTTCGAATTCCTTGTCCAATTCGGTAAAACTTCACTCTCTGATTTCTCTGTGTTTGGGTTTCGAATTCTTTGTCCAATTTGGGAGATTTTCGCAGTTTCGGGTTTGCTAAATTTAGAAGCTTTTTTTAGGGTTTTAGTCAAAGGAAGGTTTTTTATGATTGGGGAGATTGAGTTTGGTGGTGGGTTATATGAAAGATTCAGACTTTTTTTTTTGGTGTTGAGATGAGATTATCAGATGTGTTGGATTCGAGTTTATGTGGATTCGTTTGGGGGTTATCTGATTTGTGATCCTTTTGACTTTCATTTTCTTTAGATCCATGGCCTAAGAGAGATCTTTGTAATGGTCTCTTTGATCTTCTTAGCTTCGATTCTAGCTGGTTTGAGACAATGTTATGCGTTGATGAAACTTTCTATCTTGAGCTAATTTGATTAATGTCTGTGAGTTGTTGATGTAGTTTCCTTGTGTGTGTGTCTTCTCAGAATCGATGAAACTTTCTATCTTGAGACAATGTTATGTATTGATGAAACTTTCTATCTTGAGCTAAGTTGATAAATGTCTGTGAGTTGATGTAGTTTCCTTGTGTGTGTCTTCTCAGAATCGACCACAAAGAGCAAGTTGGCGTCTTTGAATGAGAAATTGGATCTGTTGGAACGTCGCTTGGAAATGCTGGAGGTGCAAGTGAGTACCGCGACAGCTAATCCTTCTCTGTTTGCTACGTAAAACACGCATAGCTGATATCTGTTGCAATTCGAAATCGTAACCGAGTCTGAGCATTTGGCTTGCTTGGAAGAAGCATCTTTTGTTAAATGTGTACCATTGAATGATTCTTTTCTTTCTTCCCATAGCTGAAGTAAGTCAATTAGTAGCTTAAAATATGAATCCTTTCATAAATCTGTGTATCTTTTGTCTGTCCATTATGATCTCTTTTGAATGACAAAATCATTTCATTAAAACTCTTGGGAGTTCTGCTTCCTTCTGCTGTCGATTTATAAACTTTGCGAGGTTCCCAATTTCATCTTCGATGCATCGGATATTGTATATTCGTCTTTTCTCTTTACGTGGTGGAGCTGGAACACATATTAGACCCTGTCGTTTCCCTGTTTTTGCTTTCCCCATCAATGGAGGAAGAAGGAATTGAAAAAGCTCTTTTCCTCCATTAGATTCTGTTGCATTTGTGACTTGAGTTGTTCTTTGAGACTCAGATTCAATCATCAAGACCGACCTAGAAGCAAGCCATTGTTGTTGACCATTATGCTGTTGTCCACTACCTAAACAGCTAAACCACAAAACTTCTGTATACCATATAGATCACTGATCGTTAACTTTTTGCAAAGAATTTGTCCATTAGTGTCGCTTGTGAGAAGATGAGAAGCTTTGCTAAGGCTAATATGGATTCCTCACTGGATCTTAAACAGTGAGTTAGCTGCTGCTAAAGAGTTGGAAAAGCCTAGTCAAATCATGATTGAATTGTAGGATTTGAGTAGAAAGACCAATCTTGAAGCTGCATCCAAGGAAGGCTGTCTCTGATTCAGCTAAAGGGACAAAGATCGGTTAAGATTCTTTTACAAACACATTTTGAGATTGGATTCTGAAGGTTTAAGCCGGTATGGTTTAAGCCGGTTTAATACATTAGATTCGATAATACGATGCGTACACTACACGTTAAAAGTTGTTGGATTAGGCATATATGATTATGGGCATATATGTCATTTAACAACTCCCCTGTGATCGTTGATTTCGAAGTACTGTAGCTCTTTATAATTATAAAGTAGCGGCCTTGGAAAGTGTTCTTCATCATCATCATCACTGGATTAAAGCTTCTTCCTCAGTGATCGGATAAATTCACAGGCGAATAAGTTAAGTTTCCGGCGATCAAAGGTGAGTTTTTTTGCGGCCTTTAACGAATTTGTTGATAATATTTGATCCGAATTTATAAAAAGAAAAAAAGAAAGTTTGGATTTTTAATTCTCCGGAGTCTTGATTTGTTTCTCTTGCACATGATCTTTCAAATTTCATAGAAGTTTATGAAATTGATTAGATAAAAGATCAAGTTTTTAGGTTTGAGATTAGGTCAAAATTTGGTAATCACATATTTGATTTGCTTAGTCGTTTGGCAAATTGATAAGGTTTTGATTTGGTTAAAATGAAGTGATGAATAAGGAGAAGGATCATGAAGTGGAGTGGCTTAAAGCTCAGAAGATAGAGATAAGCGTTGACTTATGTGCTGCAGCTAAGCAACAGCTTCTGTTTCTCGCAACTGTTGATAGGAACCGATGGCTTTACGATGGTCCTGAACTCGAAAAAGCCATCTACAGGTTAGTATCGTTCGGTTTTTTACTCGGTTCAATACAAAGTAGGTTCTCTGTTTGTGTTTTTTTTTTCAGATCAGTGAATCTATTTAAGTGATTATATATAGCTTGATGGGTTCTTGATTGTTCAGAGTTTCTTATAAACGTTAGTGATTTTCAGGTACAATGCTTGTTGGCTTCCTTTGCTTGCCAAATACTCTGAGTCATCATCGGTTGGTGAAGGGCCTTTGGTCCCTCCTCTTGATTGTGAATGGATTTGGCATTGCCACAGGCTTAATCCAGTAAGTTCAAAACGGAATTATCGATTGTGAAAACGTTGACTTTTTTGTTACCTGTTTGAGTGATTTCTTCATTATGTTGAAATTCAGGTGAGGTATAAGTCTGACTGTGAGGAATTTTACGGGAGAGTTCTCGACAATTCTGGAGTTGTATCTTCTGTTAATGGGAACTGCAAATTGAAAACTGAAGATTTGTGGAAAACATTGTATCCTGAGGAACCTTATGAGTTAGACTTGAATAACATAGACTCGGAGGATATCTCTGAGAAATCTTCAGCTCTTGAGAAATGCACCAAATATGATCTTATGTCAGCTGTTAAGAGGCAGAGCCCATTTTACTATCAGGTAGCTTAAGTATGGTTTTTATTATATCATCATAAACCGCAAATACGGATTTTCTTCCTGATTCTGTTTCTGTGTGTTCTTTCCCACAGGTTTCGAGGTCCCATGTAAACAATGACATTTTTCTACAAGAAGCTGTTGCTAGATATAAGGGGTTTCTCTATCTGATTAAGACGAACAGAGAAAGGTCTTTAAAACGGTTTTGTGTTCCGACTTATGATGTTGACCTTATCTGGCACACACATCAGCTGCATCCAGTTTCTTACTGTGATGATATGGAGAAGCTCATTAGTAAGGTGTTGGAGCATGATGACACAGATTCTGACCGAGGCAAAGGTAAGAAGCTCGATACTGGTTTCTCTAACACTACTGCACAATGGGAGGAGACATTTGGAACAAGGTACTGGAAAGCCGGTGCAATGCATAGAGGCAAAACGCCTACACCTGTCACCACTTCCCCTTATGTTTCTGATGTTTTCGCCAAAGAACCAACTGCAAAAGAGGATTTCCAAAATTTAATCCAACTTCCAGAGGTGGAAGTTGTTGAGGTAGTTCTTATTATCTTTTTTTCTGTGATTGTATTAAGGGAATTTCAGACTGCAGTTGTGTGATCCTTTTGTTTCCTTTCAGGTTCTCTTGGAGATAATCGGGATTAGAAACTTACCGGATGGACATAAGGGGAAGCTCTCGGTTTTGTTCAGTAAAACCCAGCCTGATTCTCTTTTCAATGCTGAACGTAGACTGACCATTTTATCCGAAGTTGGAGCAAAGCAAGTTGCTACTTTCCAGTGTGAACCTACAGGAGAGCTTGTTTTCAAACTTATTTCCTCTTCACCGTCTAAGATACCAGTTTCGAGAGAGCCTAAAATCTTGGGTTATGCGTCTTTATCACTAAAGGAGTTTCTATCTCCAGTTATGACCCAACTCTCTGTTGAAAGGTGGCTGGAGTTAACACCCAGCAAAGGTTGCAAAGCAGATCAAAAACCCATAAGCCTGCGGGTCGCTGTCTCATGTACTCCACCAATACGCAGTCCATCAGTCTTACACATGGTTCAATCTAGAACATCGTGCAAAGGCTCTTGCTTCTTTCCAATCATAGGGAAGTCCCGTCTTGCTAAGAGTTCAACACACATTATTGATGAAACCCAAACAGAGGTTATCAGACTTCAAATGAGGTATGTCGTTTGAAACTACACTCTCTTTTGAAAACTAACACGAAATAACCTCATCAAACCAGGCGTATACATGATATTAAATTCTTATTTTGCTGTGTTTTAGGAACTCCACTGGTGGAGCAACACTTAAACATGATCAAAGACAAGTGATTGGCGTGACAGACTCTGGTGAAACTCACGTGCTTGCAGATTATACTGGTAGTTTCTGGTCTTTGCTAGACTTTAAATGGTCACTTAAGCAAACAAACGCCTCCACTGCAGATATTCCGCTCTTCGAGCTTTTGGGTCCTCAAGTGGTATATTCTATCATTTAACTCCATCAAAAAGTGAGTAATCTTCCTGTATATTACACTTCAATGATGCTATGCTTTTTATTGGTTTGCAGGTAAAATTTTTCTCCGGGAGGAAGCTGGATTATGAACCAAAACACTGTGCCAACCTTAGAAGTGATCAAGATTTCATGACTTTTGTTGAATTTTCTAAGCAACATCCATATGGAAAAGCTGTGGGATTGGTTGATATGAAATTTGGTTCGGTTGAGGCAAGTTTGAAAGTTTTGATTTTATCTGGAATGTTACTTCTTTTTTATTCTCTCCAAGCTCATTTTGACTCTGTTATTCATATGCAGGCGAAAGAGGATTGGTTGGTTTTGCCTGGAATCGTATCTGCTTTCATACTCAATCATGTTATGAAGAAAGGAGGTTTTGATGGTTTCACTGTCGGAACTAAAGACATAAAAGAGGAAAGCAAACAGACTAAACATGTAGCTGTGACAGAAAATAAAGTGAATGCAGACTCTATGAATGTGGGGACTGCAGCTGCTATCATAGCTCCTGAGAAAGGCAGTGGTTGCGGCGGTGGTTGTAGTGGTGAATGTGGAAACATGGTGAAAGCAGCTAACTCTAGTGGTTGCGGCAGTGGTTGTAGTGGAGAATGCGGAGACATGGTGAAAACAGCAGCAAATGCTAGCGGCTGCGGTAGTGGATGTAGCGGTGAATGCGGAGACATGGTGAAAACAGCATCAAATGCTAGCGGCTGCGGTAGTGGATGTAGCGGTGAATGCGGAGACATGGTGAAAGCAGCGAAAGCTAGCGGTTGCGGCAGTGATTGTGGTGGAGAATGCGGAGACATGATGAAAGCAGCGAAAGCTAGCGGCTGTGGTGGTGGCTGTAGCGGTGAATGTGGTGGAAACATGGTGAAAGCAGCAAATGCTAGCGGCTGTGGTGGTGGTTGTAGCGGTGAATGCGGAAACATGGTGAAAGCAGCATAATCTGGTAGCTGTGGTGGTGGGTGACCGACTAGAGAACGCGGAAACATGGTGTACAGTAACAGTACGATGGAGGCGGGTGCGGTGGCATGAAGTTTGTTTACTAGTGAAAGTGGTAAACGCAAACGCCCTAAGGACGCTGTTTGTGGCTTAATAGCAAAACTGTATAATATAAATAAAGTTTGTACTTGTTGTTTGTTTATGCAACCGTGTTTCTGTAAACTCCAGTTAAAATCAACATATCCAAAGAATCAAATAACCAATCAATATGATTCAATCAAATTACAAAAGAGCATGCATCAACGCATGAACTCAACTCAAGAAATGGGTTCAATCAACGCATTGTCTATAGATTCAAGCAATATATGTTCAATTCAAATCATAGACAATGCAAGCAATAAGCATATTCAAGTAAGCAAAAAGCACGAAACAACCAACAGATTCAAGCCATAGCTTTAAAGCATATATCACATAACAACCAATAAACTCGAAGCTGTAACTTCAAAGCAACATTTAAAAGAATTTACGTCATGTGTTCGAATCATAGACTATGCACCCAACCAGTATATTCAATCGTTCAATAGATACTGTATGTTCAATTCAAATCATAGACATAGAATGCAAGAAATTAACACATTCATG